GAGAATTAAGTGTTTCATACTTCAGTTTAGATTGACAAATGACCTTTAACGTGCTGAATGCATTTCAGCTGTTTAGTTTAAATGACCATTTTCCTTTTCTGAAACTTTGCATCTGTAGGAAAGCCACTGTCTTAGCATGAAAGAAATTTACCTCCTTGCAACAGAACGATGTGGATGGAAGTCCCCAGACTTTGGATATGAGCTGAGCTGTTTTGCAGAATCACAGAAAGGTTACTAAGGGAGGCAAAGAATTCATTGAGCAAATTTAAAACTGGCTGCTATTTGCATTGTTGTTTAACTGGTTTTACAGTATGTAGACCTCAAACAATTGGCTTCCTATTTGATTAACTGCAATAAAAAAAAAGTAAATGAGATATCTCAAGCTTGGAAAACACAATCCACTCTTAGTCATTTCTTCATAAAGCTTCACATATTCTAAAATTGGAAAACTCACCACTGAGCATGCACTTCTCATGTCCAGATATTTGTGCATGGGATTTTTTGATAGAAGGGTAATTGGAATATTCAAGGGCGAATGAGCACAGAATCTCTTAGTTGCTTGGAGGAAAACAAGGAATTAGGATTTATGTTACTTCCCAGAAGTCTTTGCAGAATTCTTCAGATTTATTTTTAACGCTGAAAAAATTTTAAAAACTAAAGTTACTTTTTAACTTTGCTCTCTCTCATTGAAACAGCTAAGTAAACTGTGCAAGATTGCTGTTCAGGACTGGTCATTCCAGCAGGCAGACAAAGGCATCAGGTGCTGACCTGCCATGGCAAGCTGCACGCTCAGCTGTGGGGCTTTGGGGAAGGCAGATGAGCAGGAGGGGTCTGGAAATGGCAAATACCTGACAGAATGACAGGGAATGTGACAACAGGTACAGGGTCTGCCTTCAAGCAGGTTCACCTTCTCACAGGCACCCCTTCAGCTTCTCAAACTCAGACTTGGTAACCCTTACTTTCATCTGTATCTAAACCTATGAAAGCTGGAAGATGCGAAGGCAAAAAGAGATCAGGATTTGGTTCTAATTATACCTGCAACAGTTTCTGATTAGAGAACCTATAAATTTAAAACAACTTAGAATATGTCCCAGTCCTACAGATTTTTATTGTTACGAGGTTTTTTTGTGCCTGTATAAGGGGATCACGTCTGTTCCAGAGAAACTGGCCATCTATTGGAGAAAAGTGTAGAAAGACTGAATAGTAGCTATAACCTCCTCACCTCCCAGAAGTGAAACCAGCAGGAGAATGCAGGTAATCTTGTACAGTAACCTAGCAGTAGACATGCAATTTTGACTTTGATTCATTTTATCCTACAGAATTTTAACTGTGCACTTTGCACACAACTACACTGTCATCCCAGAGGAGAGTGGTTCAAAGGGCAGAAAACAGAGCTAAGTTTTTCTTCACCCTTCACTTGCTCAGAGAAAGCACTTAAAAGAGCAACTGCTGGAGAGACAGAAGATGGAGGACAGACTCTTGGAAGGCAAGTGTCTGCATGAGTAGACATTGTTGGAAGGTTCCTCTTATGGTGACTGGTTCGTGGTGCTAAGCACACTCTTCTGTTTTAATAACAAATATGGAGAACAATAGGGTTTTGTTCTCCAGGTCCAGGTGTGGAGAGGATTCTTTTAGTTTTGTTTTCTGAACTCACTCATGAGATACAATAGGTACCTTACTATGTTTTTTAGCTACTGATGACACGTCTTTGCATCCACTTAAATCCTGGTGAACTTGTTTGCAGCCATTGTTTCCCCTAGAGTAGACAGTACTTGTATGGATGAGTGAATTTTGGAATTCCCCATTTTGTTTGCAGTTGTCAGGATACAGCCTGTGGGATTCATCTTTCATCCACAGCATTGCTTCTGTGTATTCTGTGCAGACTTGTTCCAGAGGACATGAAATACTGTAGTTTTATGGCTGAATGTTGGTAGTTCCTGCCAAAGGTGAAACAAAGGCCAATGTGAAGGTAGAAGAAGTAAAAATAGCAAAAATATGAGCCCAAGTGAGCAGAATGTTTTGGGGAAATGCGGGAGAAGTGGACTGATTGTAACTACAGCATAGTCAGAATTAGGACTTTACCCTTCATGTTTTTCAGCATTCACACACAGGCTGCCCCTCATTGCCTTCTTATGGCAGGGCAAGAACAATAACAAATGCTGAGCTAAAAGACAGTACATAAAGTTGATTTTCTGCCATTTTATGCCCCACAGTGTAGAAGTACCAGAGGTGCATGTTCCATAAATGCAACCCTGTATTTACAGCAAGAACAGGAATGCTCATGGGCAACGGTGCATTGGAACACTGCAAAGCCCAACTTAGGCAGTGCCCTTTTTTTTTTTAAATTGGAATTCCCAGCATTCTCAATATAAATAGAATTAAAATGTCATACAGTAATAATGACTTCTCTGCTGTTGCCAGCTCCCAGTAGACAAGAGGGTGAAGGATCTGGTTTTGATAACAAGGTGTGTATCTATCTGCCCAGCAGCTGCACTGAACTCACCTTCAGCCTGTTGACTGAAAATGTGCAATAGCAGCTGGAGTGCTGTCGCCTGTTGTTGCCCAGGCACTTGAGCAGTAAGATCCCCCCTACAGAACTGCACAGGGCTTTGCCAAGTGTTAGCCTGTCAGGCTGAAGTTTTGGACAGGGTGTATCTCTGGACGGGCTTATGCTGCAAATCTGAGGTGGTTGTGTAGCCCAGTCTGAACAGAGGGATGTGTGGGAAAGACACAGAGCAGGCACATGGCTTGAACTGATGGAATGGTGGGGAAGAGAGGTGGAGAGCTCCCGTTTGTCCCCAGATCTTCAGCACCTGCTGGCTCATACTCTTCATGCACCAGAGTTTAGCAAAGTGGTTTTCTCTTGAAGTATGAAAACGGCTTTTGCTTTTGACACATCCCTCCAAATACCTCTGCACCAAATGCTTGCAGTGGTACCTTCAACTGAGTTAACAGCAGTGCGTTCAACAGAGCGGATGGGGACTATGGAAAAAAAGAAATTGAAAACCTTTCCATTGACATCTGTCCTTTTTCCAGCTTCACTTGCACTCTGATCTGCCTGGAACATTAGTAAGAGCACTAGTTTATTTTCATCCTCAGCTATGGCTATGAAAAAGAAGTAATTGAGAAATGAAATGTGCAGGGATTCCAATGTATTGACTCTTTTTTTGTCATGAGTCCTCTGGGGGTGCAGAACCAGCATATTGGTCAAACTGATAAGGTGCGTGAAAGACCTTCAGGTGTTGACAGTGTGTGCAGTTACATGTGCTGCACCTGGGGTTGGGGGAAGAGTTCATTAAAAACCGAATCACTAATGCCCACATCAGACTTCATGGGGAACAGTGGTGAAATGATAGGGAAGAAAAATGATTGGGAAGAAAAAATGGCTAAGGAATATATAGACATGCTACAAGGGAAGATGAATGTGAATATTTTACCATATTATTGCATCTGGTGGGTTTTCCTGGTTTTCTACTTAAATGTCTTTCACTGAACTCTGGGGTTTAAGAAGGCATTCCTAGTGATGTAATGTTTCCAGGAATTTTATAAAGGGAATTTTTTTCTGTTATTTTTCTTGAAACTGATGGAAGATGAGAAAATAATTTTAATGAAATGTCTAAATATATTTTATATAAAATGTAATAGATATCAAAATAATTCTAAACAAATGTCTAAATCTATAATATATAGATCTAATAATTCTAATATATGTCTACTAGTTCCAATAACTATTTAAAGAACAAAAAATGCATAATGCTGAAAATAAATATGAGGAAGCAGGTGTGTATGCTTTTATGTACGTGTTCTTAATTGCCTTAAAGAATTCTGAATGTTTAACACCTCTGAAATGCTCATTACAAACATCAGACAGCAGTTTGAAAGGCCATGCAGTTGTAATGTTGTTCTAAATATTAGCTTCCAAACTATTTCCCATAAATATTTCCCATAAATATTCTTAATATATCTGTAAAACACTGGTTTATTATCCTGAAGTGTTTCTTGGTGGTGATTTTTTTTTTTTTTAAGGATCAAGAGGCAACAGTGCAAGGGATAGAGAATTCCTGTTCCACAGACTTTCCACTTTTTACACTGTGTGATTTAGAATGAATAGCACATGAGCAATTACATTGTTATGCTGGCATTTACATTTTTAATTGGAAGGACATAAAATCCTTTTTAATCCATAATTATTATTTTTTAGTATAAGGTGCCATTGAAGTTTTCAAGGATTATAAAGTTCTTTCTTCATTACAGTTATAGCTTTGGCAATAGGCCTTGCAAAGTCTAATTAGGTTGAATATTTAACAGAGGACTTTATATTCTTCTAGTTGTGGAAATGTAGCATTAATGTATTTTTTTCATTAAATTTCAAACCTAATCTCTCAGTGGTCAATCCAAAGCAGTGACTGCCTCAGGAGACCATAAATGTTTTAATGTATCCTGATGTTATATATTAGAAAATATATCTAGAGAGAGATGTATTATGTATCCCTAATGTTACTTATTCAGGATTTATTTAAATAATAAGAATGCTGTAAAGAAGGAGAAAAGAGAAGAACCTCAAACTAGGATAAGCTTCTGACTGCATATGGTACCATAAAGCCCCTCTTAGTATTTCTCAGTATTCTGCTACTCAGCAGTAGATATCGGTGCAGGCTATTTGAATGGAACAACAAAAAAACACTTTAGAAAGAAACAATTGTTATTATTTTGTGGACAGAATCAGTTAAGCTATAACACTAAATTATATAAGCTTAATTACTGCTATACTTTAGCAGTAAGCTTTATTACTGCTTATAAATAAGCAGTATCAATGTAAAATGATAAAACTTAATACATAACAGCATTCTTTTATTTCACAGGAATCAATCTTCCCAGCAACAAAAAGAACAGAAAGTGTAAGTCAAGTTGAATAAAAGTCTTTTTTAAAAGTCATCAGGGCATTTCTGTTGAGATCTTGTTTCAATACAGCGTTTCACCGGGCAGCAGTGCAATGTGGGCAACACAGGCAGTCACATCCGAAGATAAACCGGATTTCAACTCGGCATCAGCAGGTGACATTTCTGTTTGAAACAAGTTGAACTTAACTCCTGGCAAGTGCTGAGTGCTACTTGTAGACAGTTTATGAAATGCAGTGAAGACAAAGCTCACACACAGAACAGTGGTGGTGGTTCGCTTTCACTTTTTTTGTGCCTTTCATCCAGAGTAATCAGGGCCACAGACATGGATGGAGGATTAGCTCCTGGAGAATGGGTGGTGGCTTAAGCTCCAGGTGTGCAGACATCTGCCTGTGCTTGCAGACTGTGGGTGATGGTTCTCTCCAGAGCCCTGCTGTCGGTGTAGGAGTGATGTCAGCAACCAGCATTGCTGCTTATCACTTGAGCATCAGCTGTGCTTCCTTTCCACTTGCCCCCTATTCTTCAGGTGCTCAGTAGTTCCTCTAAAGGCAGGGGGAAAACTAATAGAGACACTTGCAGAGCTAATGTAAAGGACAAAAAGGTGTTTCAAAGACAAATATTACCTGCTGTAATGGCCCTGGTGTCACGATGTAGTTTGTAATGTGTGTGGCAAGAGGAATATAGTAGCAATGCATTAGGCACCCAGAGTTTCTGCCATATTTAGGCATGTTAGCCTAAAGGTCAAAACCTGATATATTTAAAGAGAGAAAGACTTTTACCTTCTTGATCTTGATACTCCTGTGAAAAATAAGAAACAAGAGGCTTTACTTATAAAACAAGGAGTGGGTGGCAAAATAAGGACAGTAAATGGCAAGAAGATGTTGCTGCAGAGGGAAATGAAGAAAACCTTATGTTTCTCGCTAATTTTTCACAGTAGCAGCCCTACAAACTGTTGTATCATAAAATATAAAAAATAAATAGAGGAGGATTGTTAGGAAATGGCAAAAGCAACACTTGAGCCCACTATGCAAAATTATTACCTTCAAATGTGTCTGCCAAGATACAAAATATACAATTCACACAACCCAAAGGTGAAAATATTTTTCAGTTGCTGCACTATGCTTGCAGCAGGCTGAGGAATATTAGAAATAGAGATTTCATTCATTAAAACAGACTTCTCTGGTATGTAGTCTAATATGATTCTCAAGAATGATCCAATAAAATTTTCTATCTCGTAATTCTCTGTTTACATCCAGCAAGCAATACTGTAGACATTGCAGAGGTTCAGAACAATGCATGGTGGGTTGGTGCAGAGGTTGGTAACTGCTCTCCTTCCAAAAGTGTTGGCTTCTTTTTAATATGGTAGTCTGGACTTCTATATTTGAGTTGCAGCGGGGAGAGACTGGTGAAATTGAACCAGGGAAACTGCAGTGACTTCATCTTCTCATCTTTGGTGAGTTCATGCCGGATTCTGTGGCGCCAGTATCATACTAAACATCTGTTGTTTTGATTCCTCTGTTTAAATAGATTGGATTAGAAGGGGAGAAAAACCATCATCTCCTCCCCCTCACCGTTCTGTCCAAAGCTTAGTTACTGTGAAGACAAGTCTTATTTATTCCCTTTTAGAAAAGGCTTTGCTGACATGGAGTGTTTGATTTTTTGGAAACTGGTTGCGACTCAATTTTCAGCTACATCAAGATATAAGATCTAATTACTGTGTGTTACATTCAGATAGGCTGCACGTAGGCTCCTCTGTAAATCTCTATGAAGTCCATTGATGTTGATAGGCTTCACTGTCTGAACTGACAGGCTCTGGAATTACAGCAGTGCAGCTGAAACCAGGACCTGTTTAAATTTGTGTTGTTTAGATCTAGGAAAAATTTTGTTTGGTATTGTAACTGCAGGAGATAAGTTCTGTGTTCTGAGAAGCAACAGACACCATCCATTGAGGGTCTCGGTATACTCCTAAACCTAAAGGCAAAACATTATGGATGTTAAGTCTGTGCTTCTTTTAAATGCTATAGATATATCAAGAGGACTGTTTGCATGTTGATACAAGAGGGAAACAAGATTTTCTGTGCATCACCAAGAACTATAATTGATCCCTATACCAAGTGCAGAGAAGCTACTGCCAGTGAATTCCAACACCTCATCCTATGCTGAGTCCACTGAAATATCAAACTACTAATACAAGATCTGCTGAAAGGTAAGAGCTCTCCCCTGGAATTAATAATGCAAGAGTCACAGATGACTGTGATCTTAAAAGCACACAAATTCAGGTCCCTGATGGAACTCAGGGAAATTCTGTCAAATTTTGACAGTTTGATTGATTTTTTTTTTTTTTTAAGATGAAAAAGCTCTTTCAAATTTGCATGACTCTTCCCAGATCCGAGCTAAAGTTGATGCAAAACCTGAAAGGAAAAGAATGGGAGAGAGATGGAAGTTTGGGCTCTTTGAATTAGAAAACAAATTACTGTCTTGGCTTTAACAGGGGACGTTAGAAAACAGACATTAGTTGTGAATCCCAGCCATTGTATTATGAACAACTCTTCCCAGTAATGCACACCCGTGCCACACCTTTCAGACTTTGGTTCAAAGTCCATGTTTTGAGCAGATGGCTCTGGGTGTCCACATGCACTGTTTGATCAGCAGTGTGCCTCCAGGCTTACAATCACACAAATGAGGAATTTATGTCACCCTTCAATTTACGTCAGCCTTCAATGCTGCAAGTACTTTGAAGAAGGAGAGGGTGGTGTTGTCATCCTCCCAATCCCCAAACAAGTGCCATATGACAAAGAATTCTCAGCCTGGCTGGCAGAGGCTGTGTTAACACTTTGGTTACTGCAGCGAACTCAAAACTGCGGAGCTATTCCACCAAATGGTGAGTGTGTGCAGCGATGTGTGAACAGATATGGTAGTGACACCACTTAGAGTGGAGAACAGTTTAAGAAAGTCTTCCTCTCTGGGGTTGAACAGCTTCAGAAAGCAATAATGTAATTCTAATCCTCGATGTTGGGCTCCTCAAATGATACAAGTGATTGAGACTGCCCTACTGAAAGTAACTGGTAGTTGTTAGTGGCAAGGAAAAGTTTGCCATTGTCATCTATTTATATTTTATATATCAATTCATACTGACTCTGCTTATAATCCTTAGGTTTATCTTGAATTTGGCACCCAGCTCTGCCTCATATGTTGCTGCATATTCATATTCATTCTTTGGTGAATTTGTTTCAGTTTCCACCATTGCTTCTGTATTTGGCCTCTACTCATTTTTTGACCTATCTTGTGTGCAGAAATCCATGAGATAGCTCTGTGTGTGCATGTGGGAATGTTTTTCAAGAACTTGGATAGAAGGGAGAGTTGAAGGAGAGGAATTAATTCAGTGAGCATTTCCTGAAGGCTCTTCCAAGTGATTTCAGCTGTCTTTCACATGCAGTTTAGAGCAGCTGTGGTCTGACTGAAGATCAGAACTTCCCTATTCTAAATTTATAGACCATATACAATAGGAAGTGTGATGAGAGGGACTCGTTTGGATAAGCAATCTAGATTGTTGGGATGTTTTGCTATAATTGGCATATCATGTTTCTGCATATATTTTTTGTGAGTTCTGGTTTGCATTCAGAGATGGTTTCAAACATTTAAAGAAACTTCTTCGCTTAAATTATACATGATAGGCTGAAAGTCTCAGTAGCAATCACGGAGCATTTATTGCAATGTTTATTTAGTTTTACAGTATCTTAAACTCATACTGAGACCCCCTGTTGGTCACAGGCTACTAGTTTTCCAATGGAATAAACTGCACAGACGTGCAAATTGACATTTTGAAGTTTTGAGTATGAATATTGTAACTGATACAGAAATCTACATTTTTGTGGTTTGAGTTACATTTTTAGCATTCCATACAGCACATGTCTTGGTTTGGATGGCTTGATAGACTCATCCAGACGGAGCAGCTGTCTTTCCTAGACCAGACTCAGCCAGCTTCTCCCTGGCAGCTGAAAAGCCACTTATTTCATGCAATTTACGGGACAATTTAAATTGTTTTTTGCAACAATTAATTTCAACCCGAGTTTTGCCTGTAGTCTGAGATCTCTGCCAATGTGCTTACATCAAACGAAATTGGTGATTCAGATCTGATTAGGCTTTTTGTGGTATATGAATTGCCACGTACAGTACCACAAGTTGTTATCGGCCACTAATAGTCTGTGCCCCTCTCTGTTGCCTCGTGCTTCTCTCACCTGAGCTGGCCAGGCAGGATGCAACTGCAGGAACCTGCAACGCTGGTTCTGGTGCTAACCCAGAGGAACAGCCATTCTGTTTGCTTAGATGTTGGGTGAGAAATCAAGGGTGGGTCGTAGTTCTGCCTGTCAGAACATGATCTTCAGCCTTACTCTCGGAAAAACCGTGTTCCTCAGCCATTTAGCTGTCACACAGAGGTGCAGTGGGGACAACCTGCCACCATTACACATTTAAGTAATGGGTTGATAATTAATGAGACTTAAATCAACTTGAGAGTGTAACAAAAATATGTATTTTTCCTTTGGGTAATCTGTGCATCTGCCTATCTAGTGCTTTCTGTTGCAGAAATGTCAGAAAATGCAGGAGAACAACTCAGGAGCCCTCATTAAACTTTCTCTACGTGTTTTTCCTTCCAATATCTCTGAAATGTTTTTGTTTAAATTGTAAAAGTTGCTTTAAGCATATGTGGTTAGATCTATTTCCTAAGGTATGTGTGCTCAAATCTAGAGGAGCACGTGAAGTTTATACTGGAAATTTATCAGCTTATACAAAACTAATTTAAACTTCAGAAAGCTTTTTTCCTTAAGGAAAACCCCTCACCACCAGGTTATGGGCTGTGTGGCAACAGGAACAGGCAGAGCAGCTCTGACTGGAGATCTGTACTGTGGGTGAGCTGATGTGCCCTTCCCTGGTGGGGGTTCTCATGATCACAGTGCTGATCCCGTGGGTGGTGCACAGTGGATGGCATTTGCCACACACACCGGTTTAGGTCACTGGAACATTCGATTTCCTTCCCCCTTCCCTTGTTTTTAATTCAGTCTCTTAGTTGAGAGAAGACCGAGATTAAAAAAATAAAGCAAATGCCAACAAGAGCGGAAAAAGAGTGCTCTGCTGGGACTGGCTGTAGCAAAGGGTGGCAGCGGTCCAGAAGCAAAGATGAAAGTCTCAAATCAAGAAGAAAGCTGAAAGAACCAGCTGGGAAAAAGAAAACACATGAACAGAAGATGCAAGTGTGGCATTAAACCAAGGACCAAGTGGGTGAACCCTTACCTTAATGCTTTTCATGTGAGTGCAGTGCATGGTGGGGTTTGCAAACTGTAGGGGCAGTTTACGTGTAAAGTGAGCTGTTTATGCCAGGGGGTCAGTGCAGAATGAGAAAAATAGAAACAGAACAATGAGTATTGCACAGTCTCTCAAAAATGAGCCTACCCCCCACCTCCCATCAATTAAAAAAAAATAGGTCAGTTGCAGTAATTGAGCATTGTCTTCATTCCCCTCACTTGTAGTATGTTTCTTTACTGTTTTATATTATCCTACCAGGTCATTATGAATGAGCAGAAATGGTTTTTAGGGGAGGAAAAAAGTATTTTTGTGAGTAGAATCACCATCAGCACCTTGATTCTGGATTGCTACGCTTGTTTTTGACTGAGTTCTTTTGCAGTTTTAAAATCAACTCAGGCTGGCCATTGTAATTTCACATCATTATTTTAAATGAAAGAACTGCTTGGAGGGAAGAGTCTAACTAAAACATCTTAATTAAGATTACAGCTTATCCAAAAGACTGCCAGTCAGCTAAATCTAAAAAGTATTTTTGTAGGTTTTAGGATAATTTATGGACAGAGTTAATTCAGCTGCATTCAAAAATTACGTTGTACTTACGCTGGTATCACTTAATGTTAATATGGTTTATGTTATTGTTTCTTTGTCTGCCACAGTACTTTTCCAAACAAGAGGAGGGTGTAAAAATGCTCCTGCTTCTAACTGTGGTCCATCAAAACCTCCCTTTCTAGGCACATTCTGTGTATCTATTAGAGGTGACAAGGGTAGTAGATCTAATGGATTTAATGTTTGAAAGTGAAACAACTAATGCCAACTGGGGTTTCTAAAGTCTAAATTAATATTAATCTTTCTAAGCTAAAGCCAACACTTCAAGTGACATGACCTTTTTAAAAAGTGTTTCGTAAATCTTTTGGGGAAGGCAAGAAATCATATTAAGGTCACCTATCTTGGATTTATGAGTCTTTAGACATATAAGAAACATAATACACAAAATAGCTCAAGACTTTACATGGAATTGTCACTGGGAGTCTTGAAGAGAAATGAAACAAAGTAGTTTCCAAACTATCTTCACTGTCTTGGTTTCCACTAAAAACATCTGCAAACTGTACTTGGTTAAGACCCCCAAAAGTCAGGTGTACTGTATTAAGGATTACTGGGGGAAGATATTACTCTTTTTTTGTTTTAATACTAAAGAAGTATTAGAGATTTTTTAAACTTTTATGAACAGTACGCCAATGATTGCTAGAACAGGCTGGCATATCCATGAGTGTGCATGTGAAACTGTACATGTCCCTAATAGTGAGGACAAGGGAGTGCTGCATATTCCTTCTCAAAAGATGCTTTCTATTTTTGGTAAGTTTACAAAACAAAATAGCTATTCAGACCTTATTTGCCAGTTCCAGTCTGTGGGGTAAATAGAAGGCAATGCTTTAAACAAATCAAGTTTTAAGAAGAAAAATAATCAGCTACTCTATATATATTGCTTTAGAAAGGACAAACACATACTAAGAACATGCACATGGATAATAAGATGAGGGCAAGACACCAATTCCTTGTAAGCAGCATTTGTTAATATTGTGTTAATTGCAGTACTTCACTTGCAGAGCAAAGGGATCAGAGATCCTTCCCCTGTACCCTTGCCATTTTCGCCAGTTTTGCTGTTCTGGTATTTCTTAAAACTCCTTACTCAGAACCTGTCATCTTATAAACCTAAAGGTCAGAGCTCTCACTCTTCAAAGAAAAATATCTTGCAATTAAAACATTTGACTTAGTTGTTCTGTACAGGTCTTACATTTATTGAAAGCCAAGACATTAGTGAGGTTTTTTTCAAGTTTGGTTTCCACACTGCTGAACTATGTGCTGGTTTAACATCACATCTGTGGCATCTAACAAGCTGCAGGAATAGCTTTTTCATTTTAATGCTGAACCAAAAGCAAAACCACCAGCAAAGAAACTGAGCATGTTTGGGTAGTACTTCTTCTCTATCAACCTGAAAGCCAATGCCACCTCTTGTATCCGCTCTTTCTAGGAACAAATTACATCTGCCTTCCCTATGTGATCCTCTACTTGTTTCAGTACATCCACATTAGTTGTACTGCGACACATGTACTGTGGCACAAGGCAGGCAGGTTCTTATAACCTACAGCCCTAATTTATGAGCTCCAAAAATTGGGGAGTATTTCATCTGCCAGTAGATCTGTCAGGTTCCTTTATATCAGGCCCCTTGCACTGCAAACATATCAAATCTTCATCCTAGAAAAAAGCCTTGGTTTATCAATTAAGGACTTATTTGTAAGAAGTGCCAACAGCCCTGTTGAGAGGAGAGCTGAAATCTGATTTTCTTCTGAAATGATGCGCTAAACCAGTGAACTGTTGATAAGATCTTTATTTTTTTTCTCAGGGGAAAACAGGTTAACTCAAAAATAATTTAGTCAGTGAGTAGTTTTTCTGTAAGTATCAGCAAGAGTTTACTTCTTATTAAAAGGGCTATACAAATAGTTATTTAAAAGATGGTAATTCAAAGCCATCAAAAAGGGAGGAAATTCCCTTTGCTTTGCTTCACATGAATCCTACTTGGTTTTGCTCTTTTTATGTGACAAATATGGATATAGGTTACCAATACAAAAGCAGGAACAGCTCTCTGAGCAAACTCATCATTTCTTCAGATGTTGATTGTGTAGGGATGTTAATAGAGAGCAAATGCTGCAACAATCCTTTTTTTTTTTTTTTTTTTTTTTAAGAAAAAGTCTTCTGTCTGTTGACCTTCATGCCCCGACATCAGTGGCTGTAGCTGGGTATCTGTAGCAATACAGTTTGTTGTCTGCACCTCCACTCAGTAACAACTGATAAGAGAAGAAAGAAGAAAGCTGTGATTAATATCAGAACTGAGCAAAATAGGTACATGAGCCGAGGACTCAATTTTTCTCTGCTTTGAAGACATAAAAGAAGAAATGAATAATGAACTGTTGATGCATAACTAAAACCCAGAACCAAAGTGCAGAACCAACTTTGTCTCTTACCCTCCTCTTAAAGTTAGGATTTTCATAGGAATGTTGCTAAAGTTTTTCCTGACTTTTACTGACAGCAGGAGCCACACTGAGAATCTTGGGACGTCAACAGAACATTTTTTGGACGTTTTAAACACGTGTGTACCACTGCAGTAGCAGAAATGTTTCCTAGAGAGGATTATATGGTTTCCCCTTCTACCTGTACTGGCATGGCCCAGCTACCCCTTCATGCTGCCACTTTAGTCTCAGTGGCAGAAAATGGAATGTGCATTTTCTCCGTGAGGTGCAGTGCTGTTCTCGTGTCTCTCCTTGTTTGGAATATCAGTATAACCCTCAGTTAATGCTACAGAGCTTCAGCTGCCACCCTGCTCCTTTGCACAGGAGCGTGGGGACACGCTGCAGTGCGTGTGACAGTGACACCCAGTTATCAACCACAGCACAACTCAAACTTCCTGTTCTCTTCTGTCTTTAAGCACAAAAGAAAGAACAGTCCACGACTGCTTTTAGCCCTCATCCTAACCACTATGCATTATAAATTCAGTAACTTGCTCTTCAGATTCTTACCCCTGCTTCTGTCCAGTCCACACAGAAAACCTTGTCTTCATGAGCAGCCAAGTCATAGAGAGGAGCTTTGCAACTAGTGAAAAACAGGTATTTACAGTCACATGGTTGAAATTACGTGAGTAATCACAGAAAATAGAATTGGTCCCTAGAATAATATCACAAAGCTATAAAACAGATGTGGTCAAGCAGTTATAAACACTTCAGGAAAGTGCAGATATCTACCATCTGTGATGTTTCCACTGCTTTCCCCAGAGCTTATCACATTAGTATTATCCTCTCCTCCACCCCCAAAGAGCAAAGCAGCAACATCCTTCATCTGGTTGCAAACTACCTTGATACTGAAATTTAACCAGTTTTTAGGAACAGTTTATTATTTGGTTTCTTTCTTCCGTGTGTGGATGCTGCTCAGCTGTGTGCATTTTCCAGAAAAGCCATTTATGTCTTCTGAATGCAAAGCATTTCACTGCTTGAAAATATGTAACAAAGGATCTGAAAAGCATATCAAGTGCAACTTCACACTGTTAGGCTCTTTCCTTAGAAAGAGAATTATTTTGCTCCTTAAAATAGGAGAGTGGTCAGCATAGCACCTGCTGTTCCTAATCCCAATGGCAATGTTAGGGTTGCTGCTTTTTGCATGTCACCAAATGCTGCTGTTACTGCCAGGTAAGTCCCACTGGAGCACCATGCAGCCCTCTCAGCTATTAAGCCACAGGCCCCCTAGTACTGTAAAGGTATTTTTCTCTTTTATTATATGCCTGACTCCCAAAACCTAGAGCATTCTCACAGATGCCACAGGAGACTCTAATCAATGTCTCTGACTGCTTTTGTTATTGAACAACAACAAAATGCAGGTTTATGTTACCTCCTCGTGTCCCAAAGCTTCACAATGTTGTCCAGAGAACCAGAGATCAGCTGATGCTCATGGGTAGGTGACCACTTCACACATGTCACCCAGCCTGTGTGAGAAGTCAGAGACAGCAGAACCAAGGAGCCATCTGAAGAGAAAAGGAGGAAAAAAACCCAGACATCAGCAGATGCCAACTGCATACAAAATCCAGTGAGAAAAACAGTCAGCAACTTCTTTGTGTTCAAGGTAAGTGTTTTTCCCACCAGTAATTCTGTCTTCAAAAAATCAAAGCGAACTTTAAGAAAGTGAACAAAAATTTAAGTCACACAAGTTCCAAGGAAGAAAAACACCCCAACAACAACCAATCAACCAAAAAAACCCCAAACAAACCTCAAAATGTATTTTCTCATAACTAAACTCTCTTTGCAATGTTTTGTTAGAAAGCAAACAAAAAATGCTTTTATTAACAACATATAAGATGCTAATAAACTCTAGATTAGGTTTACAGGAGCTAAAAAAGTAAACATTGTTTACTAATTGTGGCCTCCCAGTACCTGAACGGAGCCTACAAGAAAGATAAAGACTGTTTACAAGAGCACGTAGTGACAAGACAAAGGATAATGGCTTTGAACTGACTTTAGGATAGATATCAGGAAGAAATTCTTTACTGTGAGGGTGGTGAGGCACCGGAACAGGTTGCCCAGAGAAGTTGTGGATGCCCCATCCCTGAAGTGCTTGAAGCCAGACTGGATGGGGCTCTGAGCAACCTGGTCTAGGGGAAGGTGTCCCTGTTCACAGCAGGGGTTTTGAACAAGATGATCTTTAAGATCCCTTCCAACCCAAACTATTCTATGATTCTGTTCTTTGAAACGTGTTCATGAGATTAAGTCTGGTAGGCTCAGTCACAATATCCACAATCCTGTCTGTTTATGATATAGAGTCCCGTGCCTAAATTACTACTATTTCACTTTAATGGTGGTCTGACCAACCTAAGTATGAACCTTACCAAAAACAAATAAAAAGGTTTGGTCCTGCAGCTGCACAGCTGAACATTAGTAAGTTTAAGAAGAAAAACAAACAAAACCTAAGCTCAGCTAGATTTCTAAATTTCTATGTAAAAAGAAAAGAAGTCTTGCACCAGATTACAGAAAATAGATGTAATCTTTGTATTTAGTAAAAGCCCCTAAATGGCTGGTTTCAAGAAGAGGGACCAGGAAACAGTTTGAGATGTCTCCCAACAGGAAAAAGTTCTGATTTTGAAAAACAGCTTTGAGACCATGCATGTTTTTAGCTCACCTTTGCTGCGAGGATCCCATAGCCTAATATGTCTGTCAGTGCTCCCTGATGCCAGACGTCGACACAGTGGTGAGAAGGAGAGAGAATTGAACACTTTGTTTCCTGTCTGTCAGAAAAGAAAACCAGTAATTCTAAGAGAGGAGCTACTGTTTTGTGCATCTTCTTTTTCTCTGAGCTGGACTTCAGCTGAACCTACAGACAGTGGATAATGATCTCACCAAAGTAGATTTGAGATCTCCAGTCTCAGCATCCCAGATTTTAATGGTGTGGTCCCATGATGCACTGCAAATTTCTTCAGCATCTGACCACAGCACAGAGGAGACAGCTTCTGTGTGGCCAGAGAGGGTTGCCAGGGGAGTCTAGAATTTAATGGTGACAGATGTGATTGAATATCATCAAAAAATCAATTCCTTCAATAAATAAAAACGTGTCTGATTGAACAGATCGGAAGTTTTCATACAGTCATTTTAAACAATGAGAAATTTTGTTTGGCCACACTTCTAAAGAAAAATCCTGGACAAACCTGGAGCTCATCTTACCCTCGTTAGTCCCAGCTGTTCAGTTTTCTGCTTCTTCCGTGGTCTGTTTGCTGCTTCTTCCATTTCATCCTCTTCATCTGTAGGTACTGTCACAGAAGACAGGCAGACATGAGCCAGAGGTTTTTGAATTCCATCTCCATGCAAATAATTAAGCAACCCCCCATATTTACAGTGCCTACAACCATCCTGCAGGTGGATAACCGTACCTGAAATTGTGTAATTAACCAAACCAGTAACTTAACATAGCCTTACGAGCTTACATCTTACCTGCAGACCAGATCTTTAACATCTTATCCCAGGATCCACTGCAGAACTGTATGAACAAAAATATTTTGTTAAAAGTTGATCCAGACAGACCTGCTTGAAAAATTACCCAATGGGTTATAACACATAAAGAATAGTGTTGGGCTCCTAAAACAAACAAACAAATGTTTGGTATAGATAAAATTATTTCTTTTTCCTTCCTTTGTAGGAAAAATACCTAGTAAATATCTATTTCCTTCAGCACCAAAAGATTTTACTTTACCCTGTCTGACATTGAGTCAAGCTGGGAGCAATAACTCCACCTTTGGTGCAAGTGCTCGTAACTACTGAATTCCTGCATGGAGGGAAAGAACCTCTTTACCACCTGCTTTTCCTGAGTACCACGCTGGAAATTTTTTTCCCCACCAAAACCACTGTGAAAATTTATGTCAAATTTGAAAATAGCTCACCATGGCACAAAATTCACATGCATTTAAAGTAAAATATACCTTAAAGCAAACATTTAACTTGCTTTCCAACCTGAATGATTTTATGGCTTAGCATTGATACAGCGCTCCTAAATCAATAACCACCATTTATAACAAGGCTGGAAACTTATCAGTGTGTCAGTCTGAAAAACATGATGACAAGTACCTATGCAGGGACAAAAAGATGATTTTTGGGATATGGGCTGCTAACATCCCCAAAAAAGGTTTCTTTCCCAGAGTCACTCACTTTGGTTTTCGTGCAATCCACAGCTATGGAGTCTACGCTCCCAGCATGTCCCCTGCAGCAGTGAAGGGCTTTCACTTTGTTTTTCTCCACGTTCCACTCCCACAGCAGGACAGTTTGGTCCATAGAAGCGCTGAGTAACAGGCACGATAAACTGTCTGAGGAGGAAAAAAGTTACGCTCACACCCAACTCAGCCTTCCAAAGTCTTTATAATTACTCTAATCACAGAAGACATTGCAGATGGATAGAAACTCGTATGTATTTCAGTTTACATCATGTTACACTGTGAGTACAAATAATACAAATATATTCACCACTATTTACTAATGAGGACTGCAAGGTGGATAGACAAGGTACATGCTAAGGTAACTATATTCATTACTGTTAAGACTATTTTACCCACACTGTGACTTCATTTCTAACACCACTGACAGAGACTGAAATAATTATAGCATTTAGATAGTTAAATATTCAAGGTTGAGGAATGCTGACATTTCTCCCCCAGTAACTCAAACTCTTACTACTCCCCTAACATACATACTGACCTTGTTTCACCCATGCCACATCCTTCACTACTTCTGTGTGCCCAGCTATTGTCATGATGGATTTTCCTTCCAAAGACCAGACTCGAGCAGTCTGATCGTAGCAGCCAGTTAATATCCTACAGGGTACACAATTTGAAACATCATTGTCTGTAAGACCAACAGTGTTTTTATGAAAAAAAGCCTCAACCAGAAACTTGGAAAAATAGTAGCACAATAAGTGGTTTAAAAAGAAATAGCTTGGAAAAGTAAAAAAATCTTTTTGTTACAGAGCAAAGCTTCATTAAAGCCTACAAGCGAGGGGCTAGGAGTACAGGCCAAAAAGAAAAGCAGTGAGAGTACTGCATGTTCTGGTAGGTAAAAATCACTTATATAATTTACATAATTTAAAATTTAATTTGTTGTTTCTAGTATATTACTAAAGGTTCTCAAACCATTCTCAAATGCTGGTTGACTGAGAAATGAATGTGAAAACACAGTAGAAAAAGACACTTATGGCTGTTTGGCCTTTTTTAAGGATAAGCTTTGCATAAAGTTACACTATTCTATTTGTTGCTGAGTGTCACATTGGAAGTCAAGGGTTTAAGCAAAAGAGATGAGGAAATATCACTGTCCTTTAAGAGAAAGGATAGTAAACAGCATTTGTTTTGTTTGTTTGTATTAGCAGTACCTCATGTTCAGTGACTCTGGCTGCTTTCTACTTGTGTTATAGTCACTGTCAGTGAACTGCTTACAAAAGCAAGTAGCTGATTGACTTGCCAGCTTTAAAAAAATAAAATAAAATAGAAACAAAACAAAGAGGGAAAAAACCTCCACCCAAGAGATTATTAAAGAGTGAGTACCACTCCATTTAACACTGTGGAGGAACAGGAATAAGCAAGACAAAACTTAGGACGGGCTTAGCGTGGTACCATTCTTCAGTGCCTTGTACAGAACTGATCCAGTCATCATGGAAGATGCATTCTTCTGGCTGAGGGGCCATATATTTCTCCACATACTCTATTTCCACCACTTCTTCCTGAGCTCACAGACAAAATACTTATTTAGTGAGGTTTCATTCTTTTTAATCAATAACAATAAAATTTAACCGTAGTGTGGTACAAATACACAAGTCTATTGAGCAAAGATCTTGGCATCCAAGTCCTTTGCCACAACAGTGGAACTAAAGTCTTTAGGAAAAAAAGTGTGAATTATATTGCTTTCCATATTTGTATCAAGTTACTATTATTAGCAAGCTGGAAGCAAAAGCAAGTAATTTTGATCTTCTCAAATTCTCTTCTGTATTTACCCATACAAAACTGGTGTCTAAAACACCTCACAACATTTTTTCTAGAGGTAATATTAACCTTTCCCCATCATCCCCCAATGTAAGAGGCAAAAACACATTAATGATGGACTGAATAAAACAAGAATTCTCCCTCTGGACCTTATACAGACAAAAGACTGGGTAATGATGTTCCTTGCACTGCTCAGTCCCATAGTCTCTAATCACTTTGCAGTTCAGAATAGATTTTAAAATACATGGAATTCTCCAGGGAAAGTTATAATAGAAATAAAACTGAGCAAGGACATCTACCTAGTCAGGATTATAGTGTAATACCCAAAGCAGATTGAAGTAAACTGGCTACGTCTGTTCTGCTGCCCAAGAAGGGGAGAAATTGAGTATGACTTACCGTGGAGATATTTTCCATTTCCATGTGTGTGACCAGTGGCACTCGCAAGAACTGGCCATTGATAAGGAAATCAAATTCCACATATTTGTGATCCTCTAAAACAAATTAGGAAAAATCCATGTTCAGGTGTCACTATTTATTTGATACCATCAAGAACAGCATCATTTTGTGGCTAGTACAGGAGAAGACAGGAAAAGATTATAAAAAGACCAAAACAAACCCAAACAAAAACCCCCAAACCAGACCAACAAAAAATGACGACAACAAAAAAAACCCCTCAAATCAGTTAGTTTCTTCTCCCAGTTTTAAGTGGGCAGCCCATGAATCCCAGTGGATTATTTGAGAGGACAGAAAAACTGTTCTTGGGGTTCAAAGAGTTAAGTTCGCCTCTTATTGTATTTTCTCTGTAGCCATGTGTAATCAAACCCCAGTGGTGCTTCCATACATGGGTCTTGCCACTGCTAGTCCGCAACTTTGTTACCATCAGCTAGAGCCCTGTATTTGTGGCAGCAATATGAAAATCGTATGAACTTTTGGTTCACATTTCTCCCTCTGTAATGGCATAGTTGACAAAGGCCCCCACATTTTGGCAGAAGCACTGCACTGTGCACTAGTTTTCTATTCAAGGTTGTCTGCAATTTCCTGGGTTAAAAGCAACTCAAGAAGATACCATAGGTCCAGTTTCTTATAAAACATGGGGTTTTTTTCAACAATATGGCACAGGTGTCTTTCCCCAGAAAATCTTTCAAATCAGTCAGGCCCATTTCAGCTGGCACTGACAGAGTGGTTGAGCTTTTCTCAAAGGCTTTCATAAAACCCAAATCTCTGGTTTCATCAGTTCTTGTGCCAGGTTTTGGGCAGCGCTTCCATCCGCTGGGGCAGCCTGGGCTGTGGCGCTGGGCACACGCTGTCCCAGCCTCTGGAGCATCTCCCCCGGGACTGCCCCCCAGCCCCGGTACCCGCGGGGTTCCACAGGGAGTGCCGGGAGTGCACTGCGGGCAGCCAGGCCGGCACGGCCGGGCAGGGCGGGCTCAGGCTGGCGCCGTCCCCGCCGAGGGTGCCGGTGCCCCGACTGTGACAGCCCGAGGTGCTGGGCGGCACCGCCGCTCTCCGGCCCGGCCCGGCCGGGCGCGGGGCACCGGGGGCTCCGCGGGGCCGCCCCCGCCGCGGTACCCACCGTGCGCTGCCGCCAGCAGCTTGTTGATGAGCTGGCTGAGGTCGGTGGTCTCGGAGGCCGCGGGCACCGAGAAGGGCACATCCTCCACGGCGAACCTGCGGGCACAGCGCGCCGTTACCGTCTGCGCGTTACTCGCGCCCCGAGCCCAGCCCCGGCCCGCGAGGGGCGGCCCCTCACCTGCTGTTCTCGGTGCGGAACCGCGCCGTGAGCTGTGCCATCGCCGCGGCTGTCGCTGCTGTCGCCGACACCGACCACGTGTCGTGACGAGCCCCCCCCCCGCCCCACGCGGCCGCGCGCCCGCCGCGCTCCCGAGACGCCGCGCGCCGCCGCCTTCCCGGCGCCCCCCGCGCGCCCCCGCCCCGCTCCGCGCGGAGGGCGGGCGCGCGTGCGCGGAGCGGCGGCGCGCATGGCGGTGCCGCTTTGGGAGCCGAGCCCAGGTGAGGGAACGCGACCCGGCTCCTGCCCCGGCTCCTGCCCCGGCGCGGCGGCTCCGGGACCGCCAGCCCCACCAGCCCCGGCCGGGCTGCGCGGCGGAGCGGTGTGACGGGTGCGGGCCGAGGGGGGAGGCTCCCTGTGCGCCCCTGAGGGCTGGGGCGCGGGGGCGCGTCCCGGGGTCCCTGGCAGGCGCTGGAGGGGCTCCCGTGCCCCCCTCAGCGGCGCTGCCCGCGCTGTGTCCCGGGCGGGCGGGGGGGCCGCTCCCCGTGTGGCGCTGAGGGTCGCTGGAGCGGTGGTCTCTGCTTGGAGTAACTCGGGTTGTGTGTCTGTGCATGGCGAGCGACACACCCACTGTAAACTGCCCGCTGGAAGTAACGCAAGGCGCGGTGGGCTTTAATAAAAGAAGCTGTGAGTGAATTTCTGCTCCGGGAGAAGGCTGCTTGTGTGAGGACTGCGGTGTGCTTGCCTTACATGTACATTTTTTCTCCACCTTTTTGACAGTCGTTCGTGTCCTCTCGTGAACAGCTGGGCTTTCTCCAGTGGTGACTCGGGTCGTGGGGACTCCCCTTGTCGGGGTGGGCAGGTGTTGGTTCTTGTGTTCGTGAGACTCTGAAGTCTTCTCTATTTCTTAACTATACTTCAAAGATCTAATTGACAAGGGTGCATCTTCCAGTTATTGGTGTTATCTACACAAAAATCTCTTCAGAAACCTTTTAAGTGGGAGCCTCCAGATCTGCTTAACGGCATCTGCCTGCTCTTCTGTGACAGAGATAAGCTAAATCTCAAACCTGGTACAAGTTAATATAAAGCTAATTGTAACTTCTTTCCTTAAGAGTATCAACTCTGCCCTAATTTCCCCCCGATATGTTTTACTGTAATTTGTGCCCCTGTGAATTCATGCCGTGGTTGGAGAGTGATGAATGCCCTTAGAGGGAACTTCTTCAGAGAGCCTGTTTGACTGTATAAAACTTCAGGCATTTCTGGACTGCTTATAAGAAGAAACTGGATAAATATCACTATATATTTACCCTGCTGCTGTATTTTTTCCCTTGAGCTTTGATATTAACCATTCTTAGATAGAGGATATTGGGCTACTTGGATCATTGGAATGTCCCAATACACCTGTCCTTGCATTCTGTTGCTGAGTTCCAGCATGCTCAAAGTATGTGCCATTGGTATCTCTAGAACAAACTAACTCAGTTTAGCTCAAAGCACCAAATGTGCTGCTTTAGCAAAACTGCCACCATGTCTTCTTCACATCTTTGTACTGAGAGGAAATGGTTGAGTGATGATGAAATCTAGTTTTCTGAGTTTTTTCTTTCATTTGCTGCTAACAAGACTTCAGGCACTGTAAATGAAACATCTCATAATTGTTCGCAGATCCAAAGCTCCAAAATATTTGGTAAACATGAGGTAACTTCACTTGGAACTTGGTTTGGAGTGTCATCACTTGAAAATTGAATGGAAAAATAAATCTGCTTTAGATTAAAGTATTAATATATTGAGCATATGAGCAGCTTAACTCTTCAATGTTGTTTGTATCAGCAGGATGCTTTTTTCAGCTTCAAAAGCCAAGGAGATGAAGATTTACTTTGCCTGTGTCCTTTATACCTTTGTGAAGCAGCATAAATTTGTGCTTTCAGAGTTACAGGGTTCTTTTCAAGTTACTCTCTCACCTTTTACATTCTCCTTACTAGAGCTGTAAATGGTTGAAATACCACAGCCAAGAAGGTCGATCTTGAGGAATTTACTTTTGTACTGTGGTGAAGAAGAAGCTGGTAGGAGTCATGTGCTAATGTGATACAGCCTGTCTTTAAAATAAGTACTGAAGGGAAGAATCCTGAACACCTTTCCCTCTCCTTCATCCCAAACTGCAGGAATTAAGTTTCTTTCTATTCAGTGGGGCACGTCTAATATATTAGTACACTTGTAATGTAGGGGCCAAGTTAACTGTCATTTTTTTCTCATTGCTTGTGAAATATGGGATTGGTCACTGCTCTGAAGCATATATTGTGTGCATGAGAGCATCATCCTGTGGATGTGGCCGTTCACTGTCCAGTATTCTCTGTTTGCTTGAAGGTTTGTTGTGGGCAACTGAGCTCCTTAAAGCTTTCTTTGGGACAGGAGGTAGATCTCTGAAGTGCTGGCAGCTCTGTCTTTTTGTCTTTCATCACTGGATTAATGCCAAATTTTGTTTCAATTTAGTTGTTTTCCTGCCCAAAGCATACTGCTGTAGACTAATAATAGTAATTTTATTTCATTTATATGTTGTTTTATAATCCTTTAAAACAAATGCAATTTACTTCAAGATGTTATGCATGATGTAGCTGTATCATGCAAATCCTATGTTTTGATTATGGAAGTAGATGACTAATGTATTTGTGTGCAATGCTGGCATGTGTTTAAATATCAAGTGTTCTCTGGATATGCATGGTTGTTAGTTCAGTGCTTATGGACGTATTTAGATGAAAATGATGGGAGGGTGTATATGTGTTTTTTGTCTGTGTGTGCAATGACAAGTCAAGCAAATTGTCTCATATAAAAGGCTAAACTGTACTCCTGGAGCAACACACTGAAATTTTTCTGCAGTGAGTAATAAAAGGGTAAGGATTTCTTGAGGACTTTGCTGTTACGTTGCAATGGCAAAGAAAACACCTGCAGCAATGTCTTGGCAGAAGGCTGAAATAAACTTTTGTACTTTTTCAGGTTGCCTTGTAATGGAAGAAAATGGAGCTGATCACGACATTGCTATGGAAGGACCTAACGATTTGTCCATAGGCAACTGTGATGGTCCAGGAGAGTCCAAGGCAAATGATCAGGTTTTCCAGATGAGGTACGAATGCTTTGTCCTTGTAGATGCTCCCATTACATCCTCTCTGATGAACTCAAAGTGTTCTATTTCATCAATGCACGGGGGCTTTTTGCCTTTTGCGTAATACATTGTGTTTTTTAAAAAAGTACAAAGTTCCTTGCCTTGGATTCTTGTGCCGTTCAGCTTTTAACTGATGAATATCCAGATGTTGCATGTAATGGCAACCTTCAGTAGTTATATTAAGAGGTCCTGTTACAGTGCTGAAGAAATATGTGTTTTATTGTGTCAACAAAATCCTTTAAAAAAAGAACACTCGATGACATGTCTTGGAGTAGAAGAGGTTCAGAACACTTGAAAATCAGGTCAAGTTGCTTAGTGACCAGATGTGTCAAATAAGAGTCCAGGGACACGGGACATCTGTGTAGGTATTGGGAAAGGGGAATCCTTTATTTAGCTATGTATTATCAAATATTGCCAGATACTCCTATTCAAGGAGGTTTCTGTGCATGAATGTTCTTCTGCAGAATGTTCTTTTAACATAAAATACCATTCAGGTAGTGATTTAGTAGTGTGCTTATGGTCTCTGCACAATGTCTTTAATACAAGTAGTGTCATTTATTTGTTGCTGCTTTTCTGGTGTATTTTACAGTAGACAGTTTCAGCACAAGTGGTTTTGGGGAGCAGATTTCGAGTGAAAGGGATTTACTCTGCCCTTAGGAGAGAGGGTTTGTTCTGGGAAGCAGGAATGTGAATACTTTTTCAGCTTGGAAATGGAAAACAGAAGTAGAACTGCTAGTGTTAGCCTCTTGATCAGAAGGGCAAGAGCTCCCTCTGAGTATACGATACAGCACATTGGTTTTAAATGTTCTTTTCTCTTTCTTTTTTTTTTTTCTTCCTAATAGAAGTTGCTGCTCAAAGTACATTTTACTGGTTTTCCTCTGTGAAAGCATCTAACGTGCATGGATTCCGGGGATCCATTGTTTGGCCAGAGTGACTCTCCTGCAGCCTTGCCCATCACAGTCCACGTCTCAGGCAGTTGTCCATCATCGGCCGTGCCGGCGCGGCCACCCCAGCCACGGGCTCCCTCTGCAGAGGAGTTCCAGCTGGCAGACCAAGCCAGGCAGCCTCTCTGTGAGCTGCAGCCCCCAGGAGGGCCCAGTGCACCCATGGTGAGTGTGTCTGGAAATGGGGCTGATGGTGTGTTCACAGACGAGGGAGCCCTCTGAAGAACTCTCTTACATGGTGCTTGTTTGTTGTAGCAACAGCTGATTCAGACTTTAGCAACAAGGTGAAACTTTGCAGTGGTTCAGTTCTTGCTCCAGTTGCCCCCCTCAGGTAGGCAAATCCTGTCTTCAGCCATTACTAATTTTATTAAACAACAACTTAATGTCTTTTGCCATTATCAAGCCTGGATGCTGATGTGTATGAGATCTCATACGTCTGCTGCTGCTGCTTTCTCTGTATTCTCTGGATAAGTCTTTCTCTTTGAATTTTCTTGAGGGATCTGAACATAAGCAATAAACTAACCCATTATATTTCACCTTTCCCCTTACACCCCAATTAATTTGCTTGAAACATTGCTTTGTAATTTGTAACAGCTATTTTGTAAAAAGGTAACGTTCTTACCCAGAGGCCTTGGTTGGCATGTATTGTGCTGTCACTACAGACACTTCACCCATTTAAAGTGTAATTTATCAGAAACATCTTTTATGTTACTCTAGGTTTTGTAACATTGTTGGGAACAAGTCCTTTGTAATTATCATCATAAGGAGTTAAGTTTTTCAAATTTCTAGGTAATTTAATTTGTTTTTTTTAAGTCCTGCAGCTTTTCTTCTGTCTGCTTTTGCATGAAATACTGCTCAGAGAGGTCAGTTTCTCAGGAAGTAAAGGTCAAAATTTTTATATGCTAGGATTAATTTTGCTAGTTTGTCAGAGGGGTTACAGTGAATCCAACTATGAATGACTTTCAGGTTTTTCATACCTTTAATAATAGTGTTGTAAGTTTCAAATAAATGTGTAATTCATTGTAGAATCATGAAAGGTCATGGGTTTTTTCCTTTCCTTAATTCAGTTAAAGGGTTATTTTAAAAAGGGGAAAGTAATTTAAAGAAATTGACTATAAATAGGCTGTTTTCTTATCATGTGAAATGAAGTTAATTTATAGGCACTAATTCCAACCAAAATATTTCCTCTACTGATGACAATCAAACCCAGTCATGCTGCATGATCTCCATACAAACAAGTGCCATTTTGTGTGATTGCCTTACAGATGATTGTTGCCAGCCAGTCAGAAAATGGACAGGTGCTGCATGTCATTCCTTCTGCTCAGCCAGGAGTGACCCAAGTGATTATTCCTCAAGGTCAGCTTCTGGATGTGGCCAGCTCACAGGGTGAGTTTAACCTGTGGGACTTGAGGGCGTGAGTGCCTGAGTGTATCCTGCATGATCTGTCTTTGAGCACCTTGTTTATGTGTGTTTCCTTTCCTTACTCAGCTGTGAGACAAAACACATCCTGAATCCGCTTTCTGATTATGAATCTGGCACCCCACACACCATCTTTTCTGTTGGGCAAAAGCCTTATGAAAGAAGAGCTATTATGCTCCCTTTCTGAAGGATTTGTGATGGGTAGATTGAGATATCAAGCAGAGTTGTTTCTTGCCTTATTTACCATTAATAAGGATGTTTATGCTGTCAGACAGCTGTACTATCATCTTCAGATTTTCACTATCTGTTTACTTCATTTTGAGTGAAGGAGTTAATTTGTGTAGTGCAGAAAGGCCAGGACAGCATTAATTCTTCTGTTCCAGAAATCACTGATGATGATGCATCTTTTGTGAAGCCAGGAATGAATTGCCTGGTAGAAATTCAGTTCCCAGTAAAGGAAAATGAGATGTAACTTTCACTTTGTTGCAATGTGATAATTGTCACATTTTAAGTATGTGGGGAGATGTACAACTAGAAGTGCAAACTTTAAGGTTTTCTCTAGAAAATGGACATACTAAAATCTGAAAGCATTGATTATCTGCCTTGCTGGATGGCAAAATGCTGTGTACTAGTTTGCATTCACAGAGTAAGACTGAGAACTAAGTGGTCACATTCTGTTAAACTCTCAAGGGTTCTTTAAACTTTTTTCATTCTCTCTATAAAAATCTCAAAATCTGAGCAGTAGTTAAGTGCTTCTGGGGAATGATAGCTCAAAGGTAAGACTAGAGTCCTGATGCTGGGTGGATAGAAGATTTGGGATTCAAGTCATGCTCTAGCCCTTTTCACTTACAGTTGGAATGTAGTTCCATGACCTTGCATTGAAAGGCCTGTTGCTGCCCTAATGCTCAGCCTTCCCTCCCTTTGCAGCTCCTGCAGGGGTAAGAGCACTGTTTGGTTGCAGCACAGTGTTGTTAACATTACTGCAAAGCTGACCCTGAGCCTTTAGTGCCAAAACAATTGCTGCTGCTGTTTGTAAGTGCCACATTGCAATGCTGAATAGTATCTTTGTGTTTCCATTACTCATCTTGCATGGGGCACTGTGATAATATGTGAATACACGTTCCACAATAGTGGTACAGGGTTTTTTGGTGGTTGGTTTGTTTGGGTTTTTTTTCTAGAGATTACTGTGTAAAAAACTTTGTAGTTATTTGATCTATAGCAGACAGTTAGGAAGACTTTTCAGTGGTTTGCTGTGGAGATTAAAGGGGAAGGAGAATGGCCTGTCAGCCCTTGAGTTTCTCTTGTCTGCACATGGCGGTAATGCATGACACGGCACAGGCTTCGGTGTAGCCTGTAGGGTCTTAAGGGCACGTGTGTATAGGAGGAACCAGTGCTTTGAGCCAGAGTGGTGGGAATCTGAGTGCACACGTTCGAATCTTCTCACAGAGCTTTCCAGTGGAGTGATTTCTATACTCTGTCAATAGCTTATCCCTGTCTCTAGGGATGGGGGATAGAGGCTTCCATAACTGAAGGGCAAAAATTCCTCATCTAAAGAGACCTTGTGTTTTTTTGTTGAGACCAAAATATCGACTGTCTGCTTTCAGAGTTTTCCATTATGTTTTTGTTTAACTGTACACACAGGCTTCAATCCAACAGTAATTTTTGGCTTATGGATTCCTCCCTATTACCAAGAAAGGCTAAAACATTTGCTTTAACAGCATGTCAGATTCAGTTACAAGTGGCCTGTTTTTCTCATTTAAGTGTTCTTTTCCAAGTACAAAGCAGTATCATTACCTTATTTTTTCTTATTTTAAAAGCAGCCAGTGTGTGATTTGCAGCTGAGCAAAATAGTTGTGCAATCCTGTATGGATTCATGGAAATGTAAAGCAGAGTAATTTACAAGTTGTTCTGATTATTTGCCTTGCTGTGGAAGGATTAATTAGCAGTAGTGTGATTACTGAAGTCCTTGAACACAAGCAACCTTATCAAGTATATCTGCATATTTGTGCCTGGAGTTAGAGTACTGATTCACAACTATTCCACTACTTTATCATCTATAAAACTTCTTTCATATGTCAAAAGGCTTGCTTTCCCAAACACGAGGTTTAGTCATAGCTGCTTGTTTCCCTGTTCTTCATTCAGTTATTAACCAGGAGACTGTTTTATTCTTGTAAAGATGCTTTGGAAGAGAAGTGTGGTGATGGGAACCTGCAGACTGTGGTGGTGGCTGCTATAGCAGACAGTGCAAGCAGTTACATTCTACATCCACAGGCATCTCTCACTGTATCGAAAAGAACAAGCACCAGGTAGGTGGGGAGTTAAAAGGATGAACCATCACTTTGATTCACTGTTAGCACTGCATTTATTTCTTGTGGTTTTGTTTTTGCAGTGGTTATCACAAAATTACCATGGAATGGAGGTTATGAACCCTTAGGGTTAGTGAATGATGTATTGCTAACTGTGTTTTCAGGCAGCTTTTGTATGTGCCAGAGCAGTGGAAAAGGCAATTAAAGTACCTGTATTCTATTCCCTGTATTCCAGACATAATGGGATATATTCTGACTGGAGCAAGAGGTGGGCATTTAAAGTAACACAGTGCAAATTACTGAAATTACTTTCAACTGACGCTGTTACTGCCAACCGAGAGTTGAATGTGATCCAGTGAAGGAACAGCAGGGGAAGTTGATGTTTGAGGGAGGAAAGTTTCATGTATGAGTGTACTAAAACCTATATAAACCATCCTCCCACAAGAAGACTGTAGAGATTAATTTTTTAGATAGGGTTTTCAGTAGTTAGCATTAATTATCTAGAGCCTGGTCTTTGTTCTCTGGGTAACTTCTTTGGTGTCTTTTGGTAAAATATGAGAAAGTAGCTGGTAACAGTGTATTTTGGTGAAACAGCACACAGATTAGCAACGTTTCTGAAGTTAATTAGCTGTTAGGTATTTTTAACTTCATGTCCACCTGATTCTCTCCCCATGCTAAATGTTGCCTACTATTTTAATTCCTGAATACTTTGGAATTCTTCTTTTCTTTAAAAAAACCTCAAACCCTCAAGCCAACCAAATAGAGCAACAGCAACAACAACAAAAAAACCCCAATGACAACAGAAAAACTCCCAAAGAAGGTGTTTGCTCTGTGGACTGCAGGCTGGCTTTGCATTGGTTTATGCTCTTTAGAAATTGAGATGTGGAAAAGATCAGAGTAATCTCACTCCAACACAAATTGTATGTGTTCAAGAAATATGTAAAATGAAGAGAAACAGTTTGTGAATGGATTTTGAGAACACAGTCTGTACATGTCAGAAAAATAATCCTGGAAAGGAGGCATGTTTTTAAAGACAGGAGGTGATGCACTTGTTTTGGAATAATAAATGTTGAGTAGGCATTATTTCTGACCCTGGATTTAAGGAATGGAGAAACTGGGTATATACTTAAAGTAGTTATTGGAGCTGCTTCTCCATAATTTAAAATATATTAAAATGTGCAGTGTTTGATATTGGTTTTAATCTTTAGCATTTTACCATCAGTCTACATAAGAAAATTGTCAAGACAATCAGCTGGTCTATTTCACTGTGTTTTGTCTATTGTTGTCAAGCAACAATACTAAGAATACTGAATGTTTGGAGGTCTTGAATGTAGAAAACAGTGGTTTTGTTAAATACTTACATTTAGTGTAAATTATTTTAACAATGAAATAGAACATGAAGAAAAGGAAGCCCACGTTTTTAAGGCATGTTGATACAATACCCATAGTTGAATCATATGCTCTAGGATTATACATAATACACTGATTTGACTAAATTGTTGCTTTCCTAAATGTCTCTGTAGACTTCTATTATAGTTTTTTTTTCCTTTTTCAGGATAGTGGAAGATCCTTTTCACATCCCTCACCAGCCATTGCCACTAAATACGCCTGCATGGGCGCGCTGTCTCAGGAACTGTGAGGTGGGCCACAAAGAGTTCTGACTTGGTGTTTTTATTGCCTAGATCTAACATAGTGATCCTGTTCCATGAAAGGAATAATTCCTAGTTGTAGGAGTTGTGTTCAAGCTTCCTGGTATATAGTACTGGTTCTGCTAACACAGTTAAACACATAAAATGCTGTGGAATCCCTTTCTATTTTGAGAATGTTAGAATAACTGACCGTCAACAGCTTCTGAAGCAAAAAATGTGCTGCTGAAAACCTGATGCCTTACAGTGCTGGGAAGAATCATTGTGCACCATGTTAGGGCTTGTTTTTGAACTACAGGACAAACTTTGCTGACCTCTGCAATTGTTCATACTGGTTTGTGTTACCACACAGAAATCAAAATCCATGTGCCTGGCCAGTGTCAAGTCTGAGACTTAAAGCACCTTATTGTCAATATTTTACTAAGGATTTCTATTTCATATCTTCTCCATCTTTTTTTCTTTCTTTTTTGTCCCAGCAAGTTAGGTTACCTGTGCTTGTTTTCTCTTTTGTTAAAAAGTGCTCTGTCTTTATTGCCTGTGATGGCTTTTGACCTAAACAGAACTTTTCCTTTATTTACATATTGTTAGGTGTCTGCAGAACTATCCTGATGACTGGATCCAATCAACAGCTAGAATGTACCATAAGTCATTTAAAAGGAAGGGAGGGTAGAAGGGAAGACTCTTGAGAGATCAACTACCCCTTCCTCCTGCTACCAGACTCTTCCTGATGATAGATGTTTATTTCACTTTCTCTTAATACCTTTTAAAAGGAAATCTTATGCTCTCTAGCTGCTTCATATCTTTAGATATCTCTACCACTTGCGTTTTCTCCTATTGACTTGGCCACTGATAACTGGAAATTATCATTGCAGGGTCTTAGAAACTGAATTTCTTTCCAAGTATCCACTTAGAAATAATTTTAAAATATATTAATCTCTTCCTCTTTTTATATGCCATGTATTTCATACAAATGGTACTGTCCACTCTTGTATCGACTTAAACGTTAAGAAAATTAATAGCAGGAATTCTTCCATGGTGGAGATACCATTTCCATAGAATCAGTCTCTTAATTCAGTTGGCCAGTTAGTTGGTAAAGTTCACTGAACTGTGTTTTTAGCACTATGTGACACACTTTCCTGTCTTAACATCCCTATGGCTTATCTGAATCATTTATTATTGTTTTCATTTTATAGGAGGACTTGTATTATGTTTTACTTTGTCAATCTGAGTCTATTACAAGGAATTTCACCTACTCTGTTTAAAATTCACAGCAACATTTATAGGAGAGTTCTTATTTTTATAGAAAAGGAAATAGAAATATTGTCTGTTTGAAGTGTTCTGAGGACATAAACATCTGCTTCTGCTGTTGAGCAGAACTGTTGGCTGTATGCATTAATCTTCCCTGATCCACTGGAGACTGCTAGAATGTATGTACCTTTTCATGGGTACAGACTAGAGACAATGGGATTTTGGGGTGTCATTTATCTTTCGGGTGTGACTGTCTTACAAGTTGTTCTGTTACTAATAACAGAATTGCAGGGTCCTACTGAAATCTGTAGAGGTGGCAGTAAATCTGGCAACTCACAATTCCCCTCTTTCGGTTGCTTGCCAGAATAGAGACAAACAGTGTTGAGATCTGTGTGACTTTCACAGGTGTCAGCAGGTGAAGCCACTGCACCCTAAAGGGCAGTGACTCCTTCAACAGTTACTACTGCAGGTGAACACAGAGCAGTCAAAGCTACAGTTATCCAAATTAACACTAAACTCTGTGTTTGGTGTTGATTCTCTGACTGCCTTGAAATGTTCAGCGTACACTTGCTGTGTGTAGACAGCATAATGCCTTCTGGTACCCTGCTGCTGTTAGTTCACTCAAGGAAAACTGCAGTTTTGGTCTATGTACTTTAGTGGAAGCTTTTATGTACCTTTGCTGAGATGAGGCCAAGGCAGGGAAAAGGAATTGCTCCTTTTTTTTTTGTCTTGAACCTTGGAGTGAAAGGGTTGGAGAGTATCCCGTTACTTCAAGGTAATTACTTTATTAATAAAAAGTGAATTTAAAACGAGGCTATTTTCAATAACCTACTTACTTTTCAATGGTGTGATCAGAATGCATTTCCAGCATGTACCAGCATACTGAAATAAAGTGTAATTATAAACTGTATTATTTAACTATACGAAGCTAAGTTAATTTATTTGTCTGAAGCAGGTGGTCTCATTTGTCTTTTTTTTTTTTTTTTTTTTTCCCTGCTTGCAAAGCTCATGGAGAGCAGGGATCTTATGTGCTTATGATTTTCTTCTTATCCTCCTTCTTTCTGCCACCAGTTTAGGTGATGATCTAACTTGTGCAAAAGTAAATCTAGAACAGGAGACAGTACCTTAACTGTTATTGCTACTTTTCTGGCACAACAGTTTTATCAATCTTCTCGTCTCTTAGAATAAGGTCCATGTTCTATTTATAGTGACAGGTGTAAGATAACATTAAAAAAACCCTGGTTGTGCAGTATTTATTGTGGGGAGTGGTGCTGTAATCCCTATTGTGAAAGGCAGCATCCCAGCTTTCTGTAAGGAAGGTAATTCTGGTACTTCTCAGGCTGCTTTGCTTCTCCTGGATTTTTCAGACCAAGTTTTGGACAGAAATGTCATTTATAACTTCTAAGTAAACAATTGCCAACCTCTCCAGCTCTGCACAGCTGTGTGGGTGCCTCCTGTGCAGACTTTAACTGCTGGAGCAGTGTGCTGGCAGAGCAGGAGGTGCTCAAGCATCAGCTCCTCGTGGCTCAGTGACTCACAGGCGGTGCAGACACAGCCCTCTGTGTCTGGCCTTGCACTTGCAGCAACGCCACACTGGCCCAGTTCATTCACAAGATCTTTGTTGGCTCTTGGTTGATTTAGGTTTTGCACAGACATTTTGGTTTTCTTAGATGACTATGAGGCAGGTTTTAGGCAGTTGTCACTGAAGTATCTGTGCAGATAATAATCTTGAAGAGACACTGTTGCTGCTTTTTTTGTCAGTACTACTTAAACATCTGGCTGCTCCATGACTGAAGGTGGCAAAAGAGATTCATCAGACTTTGGTACTCATTCACAGTGTGTTTGTTCCACAGACAGAGTTGGCAAACTACTCTGGGTGTTACTTACAGCTGGTTGCCCAACCTCACCCTGAGCTGCATATGAACAGAAGGAAGCATGGCATTCTGAGTTTGGGTGGGAAGTTCTCTGTCCCAGTAGTTTGATAGCTGGCTGGCCCTGGTGGACCAGCACTGAACCAACTGTGATGGCACTGGATAACTACTTGGAGTCTAGTTAGATGCAGTTTTTGTGGAGTTGCCAAGATTTTAGCAGAGTTCATTGAAACCATCATCGGTTTGCACATGGCAAATCCGGTGTCGCATGTTCCTGTGGAATGCTGAGAATCAAGAGTGCCTTGAAGGCTGGGAGGGCTATTACCTGGGACTTTCCATTCAAAGTTAGTGCACTAAGTGGGTGAGACAGTTACTGGTGGTATAGGTGGGTGTATTCTGCTCCAGCTCAGTGGAGCGTGTGTGTGTTGCAGTACATGCGTAGACAGTTATTAGTGGTTCAGAGATTCTCTGTGGCAGTCAAGTGAAAAACTTCATCTAAGACAGATTTGTGTAGGTGGTGACTGTACCTGAAGTGTGTATTGGGGGCAAACCACAGGAGTGAAGTTGTCCTATGGAAATCAGAGTTGGCTGTAACTGTGTCAGGGATTCTTGGTGTTCTTAGGGTCGTGGATGGCTGACCAACTCCTGATCTCAGTGGAGACTGCTCTGGTGTTAGATCCTACAGTAAATCTCTGAGGGACAGAAAACATGAAACACCAAAAATCTGGGCCTGTGTTCTCACCTACCAGAGTCCCTGACTGCTTTTGTTTTCTTTGTGTAATGTTCAGCAGTCAGCTGGGTGAATAATGCTATTATTTCACCTCCTTTCCATGCAGAAAATTGGGGACTCGTACCGCGGCTATTGCGTGAGCGAGACAGAATTAGAGAGTGTTCTAACGCTACACAAGCAGCAAACACAAAGTGTGTGGGGGACACGCCAGTCTCCAAGCCCAGCCAAACCCGCCACACGGTTGATGTGGAAATCTCAGTATGTCCCATATGATGGGATCCCCTTTGTCAATGCAGGTAACTAACTTTTTTTTTAATAACTGCTTTCAAAATTTCAACATTAGCTGCCAGCTGGCCATAAAGAGGAATCTTTATGTTGTTCCTTAGTGTTGATAAAGTCAAGGCACAAACATAAAAAAGGAGCAGCTTGGGCACTTCTGTGACACAGTCTGAAGGAACTTGTTTTCTGAAACCAGAGGAAACACGGTTTTGGATTTTTTTATGTTTTGTTGTGATTATTTCCTTTTGTTCTTTAGAAATCAGTTAAGTACTATTTGATGGGGGCTCGTGTGATGAGATCTTTAGGTGGAGGTCCCATCTGCTCTATTAGGACATGAAAGTGCTCGTAAGGGTAAGAGCTTGTTGATTATTCTTGCCTAACTTGAAGATATTTTGAAGAGTTTATTCCTCAGGAGTCAATAAACTATTTAAATTGCAATCTTAAAAGAAAAGTAAATAAATTTTAAAAACTAACCAAACAAGATAAACATAACATACCTCAGGAGAGACATTTTTGTTTGGTTTATTTTTAAATGAAGAACATGAAGACTTCATAGGTTGGTAATTACATATTTAGCTCATGCAATGCATATGTGAAATTACTAAGAGTTAATTTGGTTATAAAATGAATGGGGTTTAATTGTTACATAGAGAAAACAATTGGCAGGAATGTAGGTTATGTGCTTGGGTTCTTTTTTTTTTTCCTGAAAGTTACTGAAAAAGTGAAGTATTAGCACCAGTTTTAAAGCTTCAGCTGTAAATTGTGAGGTAAAAGAAAACAAAGTCAAAGCAACTTACACTTTTTTCCCCCCAATGTGTATATGAGACATCTTTAGTTTCCTCTAAGGTCTGCCTGATAAATGAATTGCCCCACAGTAAAATATTTACAGGGAAAAAAAAACCTCACAGGTTTTTTTTTAAAGATATAGGGTCATGGAAGCACAGATTATTAAATTGTAATATTTTTTGCTTTGCTCAGACCCCAAAACAGACATTTATATTTCTAATGTGTTGCCTTTCCGGTACATTTAGGTTTGGTTTATAACTCATCTATGAGAAACATTCATTAAAATCCTTTTCACCTGTAGAGCGGAGGCTGTAAATGTGATTTACTGAACTGCAGTTCAGATCCCAGATAACTGAATTGTAAACTGTGCAGGACAAAGTGTTGTTCTTGAGGAATTTATCCTTTCTGCAAAAGGGGATCTAATCTGTAATAGCTTTCTTGCTGGGCTTCTGTGTCTGTGGGGAAATACAGAGAAGCTGGGTAGCTCCCCATGGTATAAAACATGCACTAGTCATCAAAATCTTGTTGTTTTTAGTGAGAATTTTGGATGGTTGAAGCTTTTGTTGAACAAAGTCCCTATCAAACTGGTTTTGAGATTCATTTTAGCAAAGGCTAGTTTAAAGCTGTTGAAATCTTTTCAGGCCAGAAATTTACATTTTAAGTTTGTATGTTAAAATTTGTTAATGTTTGTTTGTTGAAAACGAGACAAGATATGTTTGTTATATATAATTACCTTTTTTTCATTATTTTTTAATGTCATTAATTGCCCTGGGGCAATAAATCATTTGCTATCTTATGGAAGCAGATTACGTTCCTGTTGTAATACTTAAAAAAGGTTTTGGTTATGTCACTTGTGGTATAGGCAGCTGCTTGCCTGATAAATAAAAGATAACTAAACATGACGTGGAAGAAATTTGGAAAACATTCCCTTCTTGACCACTTTAATGCTTTGCTTGTTAATCCTTTTGTTAGAGGTCTGATTGGAAGAAGTCAGTTCAAGTTTAGAGCAAAGCAGTGTTCGTTTAAGCCTGTCTGGTTTGTGTGGCTATGCCACACTGCAACTCTGTTATTTGGCAGTTAAGATAGCTCTGACTTGCAGTTAAGAATTTATGGGACAGGCTGGTCTGAAGTGTTGATTTAAGCCGGGGGGCTGGAAATGGCTGCTGACCTGTTGTTGTGGTTTATCCCCAGCTGGAAACTACCACAGAGCCACTCGCTCTTTCCTCCTGGTGGGATAGGGGAGAGGGTTGGAAGGGTAGAAGTGAGAAAACTCATGGGTTTGAGATAAAGGCAGTTTAAAAGGTTAAGGAAAAGCTGTGCACACAAGTAAAGCAAAGTAAGGAATTCACTCACAGCTTCCCATCCTCAGACATGCATCCTGCCATCCCTAGGAAAGCAGGGCTCCATCACCTGTAATGCTGACTTGGGAAGACAAACACCATAACTTTGAACATCCCCCTCTTCCTCCTTCTTCCCCAGCTCTGTACGCTGAATGTGAGGCCATACGGGATATTCCATACCATATTCCATGACTTTGGTCAGTTTGGGACAGCTGTCCTGGCTTTGTCCCCTCCCACTTTCTTGTGCCCCTCAGCCTCCTTGCCTGTGGGGTGGGGTGAGAGGCAACAAAGACCTTGACTCAGTGTAAGCCCTGCTCAGCAGTAACTAAACATCCCTGTGCTATCAGCACTGTTTTCAGCACAAATCCAAAACACAGCCTTATACTGGCTACTGTGAAGAAAACCAACTAAATCCCAGCCCAAACCAGCACACCTTTGATTTCAGCTGTGAATTTTCTCTGCTATTTTGGGGATTCTGCTTCTGTTCATTACCAGCATTGTGCTCCTTCCGTAATTTTCTCGTCTTAAAAAGTATTGGTGTTCACCAGGGCAGAATCTCATATTTTGCCTTCACATATGTTGCAGGAGTGTTGTGAGGTGTGACAGGTTTGAGAAATGCATAGTAAATGCTCTGTGTTCTTGCATGCTGTGATAGAAGTGTTTGCACTGTATTTGCTTGCTCCACCTAAGTATTCTGTCTTCTGAACAGTCCGATGGCAAACAGAAATGTTCTGTTTCATAACTCTCATCTCTTCTGTAGTTACTGTTTAACTGTAAAAAATTCAGTCATTGCTTGAATAAATACAGAGTGTATTGTCTTCTGTTTCCAGGAAGCAGAGCCATTGTAATGGAGTGTCAATATGGGCCAAGGAGGAAAGGTTTCCAGCCCAAAAAAGCTGGTGAGCAGGAAAGCACCTCTGGCCATCTGGACAAGTACAAAGCTACTTGTCCAGCAAGGTAAGAATTATCTATAAGAATTATCTGTAAGAGTGACTTATAATCCTAAGAAAGCGTTGCTTCTGTGAGCTGGGACAGGGTACTGTTCTGGAGTGGTAGCTGATACTCACTGCTGGAGCTCTCAGCTTCATCTCCTTGGGAACTTGAGGTTGATACACATTTAGAGGTAACGAGGAAGTGCTGTCCTGTTTGACTGAGTAAGACTGAGATTTGATAGATTGCCTGGATGCAAAGTAGCAGCACATCACTGTAATGAAATAGAAGTGAGAATCATTATCTACCTGAGCATTAGTGAGTTATTGTGATGTCAAACTTTTTGTATAGTAGTGTCTGATATGAAGTAGGTGAGGTTTTGCCTTTCTCCTCCCAAGGACAAAGTATATTGATGGAGAATTTTTTTTTATTCCCCTGCCTTTCCCCTTGGAAGGATCTATATTAAAAAGGTTCAAAAGTTTCCAGAATACAGGGTTCCTACTGACCCTAAAATTGACAAGAAAATCATAAGAATGGAGCAGGAGAAAGCATTCAACATTCTGAAGAAGAACTTGATAGATGCTGGCGGTATCCTCAGGTGAAGCTTCCACTTTTTTCTTTATTTTCACAAACGAAGCAAAAAAGAGCAATGTTTTGCTTGGTTTGCTTTATTTTTTACTTAGTCAGTTATTAAGGCTTTTGATTAATATCAATAGCAAAAAAATCCCACAATGTCAGTAGACTCCTGTGGCTCTGAAGTATTAATTTGTTAAGTGTGTTAAATACCAAGTGGTAGAACTTCAGCAGGTGTTTTCATGCAGATAGAGGTAGTCGTATTATTGGAGGGTTTGAGCTAGTTTATTCTATGTTGAAAGGTGTGAGAGGCCTTGAGTTGTGAAAGACATTAGAGCCCTGAGTTCTAGGTCACTCTAACTGGGTTGTTTGTGGTTGTCAGACTGCTTCCCTAAGACACCAAATTTTTTGCCTTTGCTTGAGAATTGTGTGTATAAACTCCTTCCTTCTTGCTAGGTGGTATGTACAGTTACCCACTCAGCAAGCCCACCAATACCATGAAATGGAAACGTCCTGCCTCCCTCCCTCACCCTCCCACTTTCCTGCGTCTTCTCCTGAGGAGGAGGAGGAAGTTGTTAGAGATGAGAACTGTACTCTGCCTTCTCGACTTCATCCTCAAGTGGCAGACAAGATCCGAGAACTGGTGTCTCAGGGAATAGAGCAGGTCTATGCAGTGAGGAAGCAACTAAGGTACAGAACTGTCTGGAATGCTCTCAGTCTGTAGTGCTGTATCTACTCTTGGATTTGATTAATTTGGTTTGCAGCTAAGTGGTAGTGCTGATGCAGTGTATTTCCCAGATGTCATGAGACTGTTTTTCCCAGCTCTTGTCTTTTCTTTCCGTATTGTTGTTGTTAGCCTCCAAGAGCTACTGTACTCTTTAAATATACTTAAATAAATGGGGATTTTAAATTCCAAACTCTGTAGCAGATGCACAGGGAACTGGCAGAAGATCATCTAGCTTGCTTTTGTCTTGTCATTGCAACTAGGGGAGGGAGAAGGGAGTGGTATCTCTAACAGATGAAAATAGCACCATGTATTTAAATATGCATATTTGAATGTCCTTTAACTTGTGACAGAAAGTATGTGGAAAGAGAGTTATTCACGCCTGATGAAGTGCCAGAAAGGCATAACCTGTCCTTCTTCCCCACTGTGAATGACATCAAGAACCACATTCATGAAGTACAGAAGTCTCTAAGGAATGGAGAGATGGTGTATAATTCAGAAAGTGTCCCAGCAACGGTATGTTAGCCTTTGTGTATCTTTTATGATTTTTGGAGTTATACTGGAAGTCTTGTTTTTAATGTGTACCATTTTGCTGTGTTTCTTTAAAAATTCTCTATGACTTTATATTTTCACTGGAATCTCTGGTTGAGCACGATTGGATTAAATGTGAATAAAACCTTCTGACCTTCTTCAGTATTTATCTCATCAGCATTAGATTGCTGTTATTTGATTGACAGGCTATACAATACTAGCACTTCATAATGCCCATGAACTGGAAGCCCTGTGGTGTGGAAAAATTGGCACGTGGCAGAAAATTTTATTCATGGCTCTGCCCTCATTTGTTTTGAAGAAGTTACTACTGCTCTTCTGTATCTGAAAAAATGGGGGTGAAGTGTGTCTGAGGTGCAGTCTAAATTAGGGCTTGCGTGACATTTTGAGTGTGTAAATATTAGTAAATGCACTTTATAGCAAGTGAAGTAAGCTTGAAGTCAATACTTCTGAATGCTCAGTAACTCTTAAGTGGTGTTTCTTAATTTTCTTCCATATACTGACTGATAAAGGATACACAGTGATCCTAGTTTTCCCAGTTATGAGAGTGACTGCTAAGAAACTGCTGATTTAAAATCAGCTTTGACAAGCTCTACTGTTAAATCATGCTGTGTCATCAGCCTTTCCCTTCTTCCTATACTGTTATGGCCCAGGTGAGTGAGTGTTCTTGTTAGTTAGCCAAATGGTTTGAGTGGGTTTTATTTTAAAATCTTTAAACTGTCACGAGCAGACTTCAGCCTTACTGATGTAGTGCAATATTCACAATATTTTTTTTTTTAATCAAGAACTCCCAAAATGCAAAGTTATAAGAAAATAAGGAAGTGTAGTTTTAGACACTGTTTTCCTACGTTGTTTTTAGACATTGTTTTCCTACAGGTGCTGTATTGAGCCTGTGTTCCTGCAGTAGACAAGCTTGTACCCTTTCTGAGCACTGAGATCTTTTTCCTTTCAGCTGCAATGGACCACAGACAGCGGGAATGTCCTCACAGAAACAGTGACTGTTACGTTTGCCTCCCCACCTTCAGATGGTAGGACTGGATGGATAACCTAGCCGTCTTCAAATGTGTTTTATTAGCTATGTCACACAAGTTCAGTTTTATTCCAGAGAGGTTGCTGCCGTGTTCTGTCACTCAGCTGAACTTAAGAAGGATTATTTTGCTATAACTGTTTTCATTTGCTTTTTTAACAATTTGACTGCATGTGTGGAAAAATATGTAGTCATGATGTTGTTGGCAGAAGAATTAAAATAATAAATTTGGTTTTTATTTAGCAGCCTCAAGCACCTAAAAATTTTAATGGGATGGTTGTGTGGAAAGAACATTTTATCTTGGGTGAAGGTGCCAATAACACCTGTCTAGAGAGAATTAAATTAGACTCAGCTTGAACAGTGAGTTCAAGCTGAGTCTTCTATTTTAAGAAAGTGTTGTTTTTTAGGTGGAAAGAAATCTGCAATGTGAGCAGCCATACTGCAGTTAAGCTTGTATGCCTGTGTTAATATTGCCACCACTGTGCTTTTATGGAGAGACACAGAATAGTTGTGCCCTCGACAGCTGTGACAGAATGACTTTTGGTAGGAGCTGAGTGCTGGAGAAGGTTCAGGAAGAGATGAGTTCTTGGTTTATTTGTTTTATACAGATTATCCTCTAAGACAAATTAGCCTGTCAAATGTGTGAACATCCATCCAGTGACATACTGAATTTTACAGGAAGCCAGAGAATTGGATTTGTTTGGTTTTATGCACATGTGCACCAACTCAGTGAATATAAGCAGATACTCTAATTGCAGCATGTCTTGTCTCCCCTTATATGTGTGGGTATGTGTTTGTACATATTTCAAACACATGTTTATAATTGTATTACAAGTCTAAGGGAAAAAAAGAAGCCTGACTTTCTAAAAATGAGCTCTTCTTAATGTTTGTGAAGTGGTAGCAGGGGAAAACAACATTGACTTTTATGACGACTCTTTGTGTAGGTTTTTTTTTTTTAATTTCAACTTGTGCCAGATGGGGACAACTTTACATTTAAGAAATCAAACAGTAACAGAAGTTCTTGTGCAGAACTCCACGTCTCCATGGAATACAGCTTTCTCTGGAGTGGGTGTATCAGGAGTTGAACTATTAGCTTTATTCCTGGGCATGTTGCTGTAGAATACAACCTAAGGAAAGAACTGCTATCTCTTCCTGCATGTGAACTTTCACATATGCATGTGGATGTTAAAAAGAGCCTAAATATTTGAAGTAGTTATGTTCAAGGAGATTTATAGAGACCATCTTGTGGAGTTATGGTAAGGAGTTAAGAATTTGCAGATCAGTGTATATGTTGAAAAATCTATCTCCCCTCAAATTGCTGAAACTTTTTCTGTGATTTTCTGATAAGAAAGCATTTTGCAATTGACCATTCTCAATTTTTGCCATTCACCAGACTAGTCTGCATTCACAGGGCCAGCTCTTCTTTTACCGTTATAACAGTGAAACTGCTAAATAAAAAGGCTGAGCAATGTCTACTTGTGTCTGCATAAATCTTAACCAAAATGTTCTGGGTGGCTCAAACAGGAAATGAAATGATCCCATGAGAAGTTTTCTTGCAGAAATTGCTACAAGTGAATCTCAGTTTTTACAAGGCTTCAGGAAATGAAGTCCATCATTCTTGCACTGAATAAGAATTTTGAGGATATGATGTAATCTGTAGGCTGAAAGGCCTCCAGATAAATGGGCTTCTGATGGTATTGCATAGAAGTTATTCTAATTTCAACAAGACTGGAGAGGAGTAGTGAGACAGAAAATTTCCTGTGTAATTTTTTTTGAAGACAACCCTTTTTTTTTTGATACCTATCTGTTACTGAGCCCTTACTGAGGTGTAGATGTTGTCAAATTATTTGTTTGCTGCTTTGCTAGAAATGTTTCAGCCTTTATTCTGTAACTACAAATTCAAAGCACAGTGTAGGGTTCAATTACTTTGCTCTCAAGAACAGATTTATTGATGCTTCTGGTTTTTGCTCTGTGTGGATCCATACAATCTTCCTACAGTACTGGTTTTTTTCTCAGTACACAGTCATTTTCCTTTATCATCCAAGTTCTGCAAAGAAAACAGCATTTATGTATATATATGTCTTCTGTGTATCTATATTGAGATTGAAGGGGTTTGTTTGGTTTGCAAGGAAGGCTTTTATTAAACAGGAAGAAGAAATTTGGCCTAACTGTCTGCTTCCTCTCTTTGACACTGTAGGGAGCACAGGAGGGGAGTCAGTCGTCACCAAAGCAGAATCCAACCAGGGTGGGGAGTCCTTGCTACCAGAAACAGCCCAGCTGTTGTCTTCACTCTCTTCACTTCAGCCCAAGATATTTGCACAATTTCAGGTACAATCAAGTTATTTACAGAACACTGTGCTGGAAGTGCTGAGGGCAAGCTGAGAACAGCAAGTTCCCTCTCAGCTAATCCCAAACACTGGCCAGGTAACTCGGGGCTGTCAGCTCGTGCATGTCACACATAGCTGTGTGTGGGGGATCCCACCACCAGCTTCTGACACTTTGAAGTTGGGGTCTCTTGTGAAGGCAAAATCAAGAACATGAAGGTGGTGGGTTTCTGCTTCAAACCAAGTGCCTGTTCATTTTCCATATGGTCCAGTCATTCCGTAATGAAAATGCTGCAAAACAGAGGGGAGATAGGTCAGTCTCATTTATTCCTTTTAAATCCTCCTCCAGCCTCTTAAAAAATATATTGAAGTCCTAAAACTGCTCCTAGCTCAGATCTGTAAATTTCCAAGTTGAAAGGCCAAAGGGTGGAGATAAGAATGTCATGCTAAAAGAGCTTCTTCTAAAGCTCATTTCCCTTCAAAGCTGGCTCTCTTAGCTTTCCTCCCTAAGTACTTTGAAAAGCTGCTTTCATACTTCCTGAGCCCCAATGAAATGCACAATATTTTCCCTAGAAATACAGTCTGCACTAAGGTGCTGTTTTACTTCGTGTTTCCCTCTCTTTCTGAAGACAGCCTGGCTCCTCCACCTCACACTGGTTTTTTTTTAAAGCAGTATGCTTAGCATAGATTATCCACTTCTTGTTGGAATGGGCAGTATTGGGGAATGGTTTGAAACTGAGTATCAACAGAAAATTAGAGCTTTGTGGTCATAAGCAGTCTTCTAGATGCTGTTAGATACCATTGTCCTAATTGTTTTCAAATGTATCTTGAGCCTAGGGTTGCTGGGATTGACTGTTCAAAGGAGATTGTATGTAGGAAGTCGGAAGCTATCCACTTCCAGCACTGCAAAATATGTGCTGTTAAATGCAAACTCCTTCTGCTATAAATACAAATATATGTTAGTGCTTCTGCCTTCTCTTTCGCAGGGATTACAGCTGCAGTCAGCATTTACCTCCGCAAACGGATCAGCAGCCCTGCTAGCTGTAAATAACCATTCCCCTCCCAGCCCTGCGAGTCTCCTGGATTCCCTAGGGAGTGCACTAACCAGCCGTTCTCTAGCACTTAGTCAGGGACACAGTCTGCAGGCAGGTGCTGGCCTGACACAGCTCAGTGCTGCTGCCTCTGCCTTTGGGACTCCGCCTGGCTCTGATCAAAGTCTGGCCACCACGGGCCAGTTGGTACCAGCTGGAGGCGTAGATGACTCCAGAAGCCTGGAAGGGATCCATCACATTCTCTTGGGAGATGTACAGACTGTTCCAGTTCAGATTGTGGACAACCATCCAGCACTTAGTAAGTTGCAGTTTTCTCAGTAAAATGTTAATATAGAAAATAAAGTGGATTTTGTTCTGTGTGGCTTGAAAGGAGAGAAATGTATTGATAACGGGGAACTTGAGCATAGACTTCTTTCAGTTGATTCTAATTAGTTTTTACTATATTAAAAAGAAACAAACAAAAACCACAAAAAAGGAGCCCACCAAAAAAAGCCCCAAACTTATCTTTTGCTGTAAAAAGACACTTGTCAGTTTCTTTGACCAAATACCAACTTATTTGTTAAACACAATGTTTTTGCCAAAAATCCTAATATTTAGCTATAATTACAATCTTCAAATTATTTTTGAGGGGAAAAATAAAAATAGGAAATAACCAATACTGAATCTAGTTAGAACTCTTTGGAAAGAAATATGGGGGTTTTGATGACTTCTTTGTTTACATCATCCCAGCAGATTTCTGAAAAATTTTAATAATGTTTTACTAAAATTCTGTAGTCATCAATATGCTTTAGAAATGGTCAGATGGGGTTGTATGTGATTGCTTGGAATTTCAAAGTACTCTTTGAAAACAGTTTTTAAAAAAACACAGTAAACACTGTAAATAACTTTCTATCAAATTGAAGGCTCCTTAAAACCATTGCTAACAAATGTCAATAGCCTTTGAATTCTCAGCCATGGAACCTGATTGAGAATGGAAGCTTGCATCCTCATGGATTGATTTTTAATTCTGGGTGAAGAAAACCTATTAGATGTGAACCATACATAGATCATCACAACGTGGTCTTTTGCCTACCCAGAGAGTCTGAAAACATTAGCTGTGCAATGCTTTAGTATTTCTATATTGTCTTTTCTTGTCATCTCTGACTTTTAAAAAGATGACATAGCTACACCTTCACAATGACATGATAATTACCTCCCTATGTTCCAATGACTTCTACAGGTCAGCAAAACTTTATGTCCTTTTTATTTCTTCATGTATTCTTGTGTTTTCATTTTCAGAATATTACAGAATTTAGTATAAATTAAGGGTACATGAGGAAATATACTGAAATTTATATCTGTTAAAGTGATAATGGCTTTTTTTACTGTGGCAATATTGTCAAAGTTAAATTTGAGGGATTTTCTGCCTGTTGTACTCAAAGGTTTGTGTAACTGGTTGTTTTCCCTTTTATAATTGAATTTGACTTCTCTCCTGAGAATTTTTTTTTTTTCAAGGTAAAAGAATTTCAGAGAGGTTATCAAATATTTAACCCATTTGTTCAGGCTAGATGTTGATGCATCTCAAAAATGTTTGTATGTGATGGATGTTGTCAGTTAATTTTTAAAAGAAACTATTTTACTCATAAAGAAATGTAGTCAAATATAAAATTATGTGACTGCAAGGACTAAACTCACTGTTCTTTTGGGCTTTCCATTTTTCTCTGATGAAGGTCTCAGACTGTCCTCAGCAGCTTGAATCTGGAAGTTGCAAGAATATTGGTGCTATTCCTAAGTTAGTGGAGTAATTGCCTATGAAATTTTTTTGGGTTTTTTGTTTGCTGTTTTTTTTTCCCCCGGAGACAAATTCTTTGGAGAGCAGGTCAAAAACGAGTCTAGTCTGAAGGGGGAATAATGCTACAGAGCTTATTTGGAGGAAACATCATATACTTGAACTTAGCAGTTCAGTCAATTTGTATTTCAGGGGGTTTTTTCTCTCCTCCATGTGTGCATACACTCACGCACACGTGGACTTGGTTAAAGCTATCCTCTGTGGTCTGCATTTTCTCATTTCTAAGTACTAGCTTAAGGGTGAGCTTATTTCCTGCTGAAAATGGGTGTGCAGCCTTTGAGAAATGGCCAACTGTGCCTGAAGTGTAAATCATTCTCCAAATCAACATGCTTTAGAGTTAATTTGTTCAGCAATAGCACCTCCATTCCTCTGTGGAAAAGAACCTCACAACAAAACCCAAAAATTAAGATGGTAGCTTTATTTTTTCCATAGGAAAGAGAAAAGACATTTTGTGTGAGAATGATTTTATATCTCCAAACATTTTTTTTTAATAAAATGTTTTAACTATTGTTGCTCAAGGGGGCCCTTACTGTAGTCAATTCGTGTCAACTTGCAATGTCTTAGAGCACAGTAGTTGATGTAACTGGTTGTCAAGCTAAACAGCAGTTAACTTCATATATGCCTTACCTATTAGCTTGAGTTCCTGAAATGTTTTTCTTTTAAATGCATACTGTTATTGAGGCTGAAGCATTGTCAGTGGAGTTTGAACTTCAGTGTTTGATTTCTGTTTTGTTTTTAAGCTGAAGAAAATACAGAGGGTATTACCTGTGTGAGCCAAGTTAAACAAGAGCCAAGAGAAAAAGCATCATCTGTGGAGCCAGATAAAATCAGAGACTGTCACAGTTCCTCACCGTAGTTCCTCACCTTCACCTATGAAGCCTGGAAGGATTTTTCAAGTTGGAGAACTCTAAATGTCTTGGAAGGAAAGGCAGGTGCTCTCAAAGTCCTGCCATTCTTTTTCAGTTGTATTGTGACGTTCAGACTAAGCATACTTTAGGGTAGTTGTGACAGAAGGCTGTTTTGATTTGACTGATGTGGCTCACTGCCAATTCCAGGTCACTCAGTTGCCCTGTGGAACACACCTCTCTCTTCTGTCTCAAGCTTTGAGTAATTTGGGTGCTATCCAAATAGCCCATTTTGGTTAATGTTTCTGCAGGTCTTGCACAGTTTAATTCCTTTGCTTTAGAATATGGATCATGATGCTGGGTTTGCTTTTTCTCCTCGAGACCCTCGACTTTTTTGCACTACAGAGACCATAGAATCAGTCGGCTCCGAGATCTCAGAATCCAGTGGCAAAGTTGATCGGTATGGCAATGATTTTGTGACAAAATGAAGGTCCAGGATGCTGAACTTAAAAGTGATAAAGAACATGGATGCTTAAGAGAATGCAGCTTTGACCTGATCATAATGTTAATGGTGTGAAGATCAAGGAGAGGAGAAAGGTGAGGTTGCCAGGTGAATGTCAGTTTGTGTGATGAAGAAAAGGGTGTGAATTGTAACGGTGAATATTTTCAACTTTGGCATCTTTGAACTTATGTTCTGGCTTTATGATGAGGTTCATTGCTGTGTGCAGCTTCCTTTGCAGTGGTACTGTATTAGCAGTTGGTCGTAACACCTAAATGCAGGAGTCTTGTCTCATGGAAAATGATGGATGCTGCCATTTCAGCTTATCTATCTTTTGCTTTATGCTCTTAAAGCTATCAGCTCAGATAAATATCATTTAAGCTGCTCCTGTTCATGATGTAGGGCTTGTGATGTAGGCATTCCTAACAAGCCCAACAAAACAAAGCAAGTAATATAAATTCAAGCAGTATGTCCAAGTTTGCTGTCACTATAACATTCAGAAAACAAACACATCTTTTTGAACAGTGACATCTTCTAAGACTAAAATGATCCAGGCCATTAAAATAATAAGCAGGAATCTTTAGAAATTGAATGTGATAAAAAATTATCTTCTAGCAATGTTTAAGTCAAAGCCATAATAAGTGACAAGCTCTGAGCTGTGTAATATGTGACAGACATGTTTCTTTAAGTTTCTTTATGTTTCTTTAATCACACATGTCAATTTAAAGCCCTAAATGAAATGAAACTGATGCCAACATAGATATCAAGGTAAACAATTACATTGTTTGCTTCAGATGATGAATTCCTAGAGCAATATTCAGAGTACTTTGTATTCAGCAATAGGAGCAGTTCTGTTGTTAGTTCCTACTAAGTGGTTGAAGCTTGATCCTAAAATTAGGGGCTTTTTTTCTGTATGCTGTGGAAGAATGCAGTCTGAGGACTTTTCTCTTTCTTAGATTTGAGAACAAACAAACCAAAAAAAAACCCAGGAAAATTATTAGTTTGTTTATATAGAGTAAAAAGTGTTGCAAATATTATGTGACCCATTTTTAAATAGTTACATTTGTTAACTTAAATTCAAGCATTCACAAACATCACCTAAATAGTGGCCATTTAATATAATTCCTTTCATTTTCTTTTGAGCATTTAAAGCTGAAACTTTCAAAAGTCTTACGTTGAACCTGTGTTCCAAATGCTTTATGTGCAGCATTTGTTAGGTAGGTGCTATATCTTAGTCTTAACATACCTTAACTTCTGTGAGGTTAACTAGCATTGTGAATGCTATTTACTTAAAAGCTAATGTTTATGGGTTAGCTCCCATTAGAACTTCCCTAGAGGATCATGGTCTCATTAAATAAGAGGCAGTATTTTATCATGCAAGTGCATAAAAAAACTCTCGCTTTTTGGAGCCTCTCATATTTAGCTTCTACACTGAATTGTTTTGTGGTATGTCTTACTTGTTTCTGGCTAGGGATGATTCCACAAAGTGCACCTGGGTTTATTTTTGGACTTTCTGTTTGGGTGGGTTTGGTTGGTTTGTTTGTTGTTGTTGTTAACTGTGAAAACTTGTCCAAAATGGGTGCCCTCTGCTGCAGTCCTAGTTCTGGAGAACTCAATCACTTTCTCTTTTCCAACTCAGTAACTGCATTCCAGAGCGGGAACCTCCTTCTGTGCTGCTGTATTCGATGATTCCATCACCTTTGGTTTTTCTTAGAGTTTAAACTAATGCATTCCAGACTATGTTATCTTTCTCCTATGTTATATTGCTCCTTTTTTGGAGAATTTCCCTCACTTTGGAGAATGCTTATTCTCAAAAGAATAAAGTACAGCCAAAGATTACCAGCAAGATGTTATTTCAGTTTTAGTTCTCTTCAAAGGAAACAATATGTTTATGGTTGGAGTAAAAGCTTAAGGAAAGAGAAGTTACATTTCCATCAGTTGTTGCTTAGTTCCCTCATTAACAGTTCTGGTCTTTAACAGTCACTGTTCTTTCCACCATAAGCTACAGCCTCATCCTGCACTGAACAATATTTCTGACAGTACTTCTATTTTTGGCGTAGTGCTCACAGCTGGAGGAAATACTCCTTTAGTCCATCTTGAATTGCAGGCTGCGAAATTAATTCTACCCTGATTTGCATGGTACCCTGAAAACAATAGAACAAAAAGTTGGAAGAAATTTAAAGAAGCAAGTAAAGCATTAGTTGGTTTTAAAAGCTGGGGATTAGACTTGTAATTCTGTTCATCAAAAAATTTATTTGAAGTGCTTCTTCAGCCAATATTCACATTTTTGTTTCCAGTTTTCTTCATTTTCACAAAATTTCAATTCCTTGTCTTTCAAATACATATTTCAGTTTATTACTGTGTTGCTTTTTAATTTAAGTTAACCTTTCTTTTTCAAAGAGTATGTTTACGTTTGTTTTGTGTGTGTTGCTAATGGAAGAACACAAACTCATTACCCATATCCAGTCTCTGTACTCGATACCTTTTTTCGCTGATGTCTACCTAAATTTTACAGGGAAGATTGTTATGCATATGAAGAAGATCAGAAGTAAACATTACCACTTTCAGTGCAGTTGAATTTGTTTGAATAGAACACGCAAGGCTGTTTTTGCAGAGAAAGCTGTGTAGCTTCCTGCAGAGCAGTTGGTTATTACTCTGTGTTGGAATTGTAGATGCTTTTCTGACGTTTACTTTGTTTTCTTGTGGTTATGTTCAAACATTTGTTTTGCAAACCTAGAGATCCTGAGCTTCAACAGCACTGTAAATGAACAAATTATTCTCTGTTTATCCTCGTTGTTGGTTGCCCATAAGAGTGATTGGTTGCTTTACAAGAAGGGCTGTGCTTCTGTCTGTGCATGCAAAAATAACTTTTTGGTAAAATGCAGAGAAGGCGTAAAAAAGCACACAACCAGAGCTCTCATTCAAGGTTGGCAGCCTCTTGGATGGAACCAGTAGTGTTAATGAGTCCTCTTTGTGGTATAAAGACTGTTGCAGTTTGTACAAAATTTAGAGACACAGATGTGTGTATGTGTGTGTATATATATATATTTTTATATAGTAACTTAATGTATAATATTCCTATTCAAATGTAAACTACTTTTTCTTTTAAAGTGTAGTCTATGTTGTCGTTATGGGGGCTCATGGGGAGAAATGCAAGAGCTACTTTAGGGCAGTGAATTTTGGGTATGATGGAACACAGGTAGGACAGCTCCAGGGAGACCAGGTGGAAGAAGTTCCTGAAGGTTTGTGAAAAGCAAGGATCCTATGGGGAGGGCTGATGGGGCCCAGTGGTGAGGGTGGGCTCTGGGGTTGAGAACCCATCACAAAGGTTCAGTGCAGCTCCTGAGTCTGGCCACAGTCCTATCTGTGCCAGTACTGCATAGTCTGAGTTGGTGGTAGGAATTTAAAGGTATGGAAGAAAAGGGAAACCTGTCCTGCCCTCAAAATCAACAAAGCTGCTTGACTTTTGGTGAGTACCAGAGGCAGATAAATGACTTCCCATAGTCTGAGATGGCCATTCTTAGCTTCTAATATGAAGAAGAAACTCCTCTTGGAGCTTTAACCCATGACCATAGACTCTTTTTCTTTACATGATACCAAGGAAAATAAACCTTTTCTTCCCAACTGAATTAACTTGCTGCTCTCCTCATCCATCTGACTGCAGCTCTATCTACCTCAAGCATACTCAGGATCCACCCAAATGTCTGTTTCTTCACACCTGTTAAGGCTTCCACAGAAATCCCATGTCCTGGGGCCCTCCAATCTCAATGTTTTACTGCTGGCCTGTTGAAGCAGCTGCTGAGTTCACTGCACAGGTGAAAAGTGGTGAGATTTGCCCCTGTCAGTTTTTCTTCCTGTTTTCCCAGAATCCTACGTCCATATGTTCCTTTTAATTCCATTAATTTTTTTCCTTGCTTGCTCTGGGGGTCCTCACCATTACCTGGATAAATATCAGGGAGCCACATTTCACAGGACATCATTACATTCATAGCAACTGAGAAGATCTGATAAAACAAGGAGGGAAAGGACGGTTTCTGCCAGCTGTTAGGGCTGGCCTTTCATACCACTTGAATTCCTGATTCTGGCTGTGGATAGTGGCTGCCTGTTAACTTGTCTGTCTGTTGGCAATCTTACAATTTTCTCCCCTAAGCCTATTCAGTCAGATATGTTCTCAGATGTCTAGGCAGGAAGAATCTATTCCATTAGGGATAGAAAGTGTGATATAGCTGAGGATGGTGCTGTAAAAAGTTACTGCTCTTCGTGGGTCTCTGATGAGAAAATTACCTTTGATCTGCCCTGCCCTTCTGAACAAAGCTTTGTTAGGAATAGACTTCAGAGCCTATGCCATCAGTAATAATTATCTTCTGCCAGCAACAGTGCACCTCATTAATGAATGAAACAAGCACTATGTAAAACAGGCTGTGTTGATTTTTTAGGTCAGAAGCTATCCAGCTGGTCTATCCAACAGCAGCAACTAAGGTATGATCTGGGGGGAGAAGGAGGGGAAAGCAAAAATCTTGTCACATGACAGCAGTGTATGTGTGTGCATTTGGGTTTTTTCCAATGTAAGCTCTTACATCTAATATCTCATTCCATTTCTAATGCACATGACAAATGACATGTTTATTTTCTGGAGGGATTTGATGTGTTTTCTGGAGAGTCTTCAAAGGAGTGATCATAAATAGTACTGCTGTATCATACGAACTGTTAGTGTGTGTTTGTCATCTAGGACCCCATCCTGTACAGAAGGGGGTTTAAAAGCCTGGAAAGCCATCTGAGGACAAATACTGAGTGTCCTTGTCCTAAGGAGTCTTCCCTGGACAGAAGAATAGGAGCTGTAGGAGTTATTCTTATCAGTATTCTGTTAGCCTCTGCTAGATAGAAGAACTTTGCAAAAGGCGTGTATGTGATAGCCTCTTTATGGAAGTTGCCTTTGGATACTTAATAGTTTTGAATTATATATGCATACAGGATTGTATGTATCTTAAAAAAAATAAAATGCAGACAGAACCATAATTGTTTGCATGTAGTTCTTTAATACAGCTTTAATTATACCTAGCTGTGGTTCAATGATGCAGATATTTTAGGGCACATGTAATCAGATCTTTTAATGTGGATAATTGGAATTCATGTTTTTACTACAACCATCCTTAGCTCTCTGCAGCGCAGCTCAGTTGGTCATTTGGCATGTACTGGCTTCTCTTAATGACATTCTGTCTGTTTAAACAAGACCATGCTGTTCTAAGCAAATTAAATTTCTCTCTCTTCATGATCTTTTTTCTAATAGGGATTGATAAGGCTCATCAGAGGATGAAAATCTATTTGTTGTATAGTGCTTTCATAAGAGTGGATTTCTGGGTCCTCACTAGGAACTTGAGAGCTACTGGATCTGCCATTTGGACATTTTTCTGATGTGCTTGGATTGCTATAGCAGGACAGTGTCGATACAGCATAAACTACCACTAAAATACTGTTAAAATTTTAGCTCTATCCTTTGTTGAAATGTTGATAGTGGCTTCAGGAAGGATCACAGATTTGCTTCTGCACTTCATAGAACAGTCTTTGTCTCTAGATAGTATTTAAAATGTAATCAGCTGTGGCAGTCAAATGGCAGTAGGAGAGCCAGGAACAGAGGTGTATGTTGGCAGATCAGTAAGACAGAGAGAAGTTCAGTCCCAGTGTCCTCATGCCAGAGTAACATTCTCTGTGCTAGTCCTGAATGCACCCTTCAGAAACAATGATTGGTCTCTGTGTGCTGACATAGCTGTTCTTGCCCACTCAAGAAGTTCTACAAGCCTGCAAGGGACATGGAGAGCATGAAGAAGCTGTGTAGGATTTGATGAGAGGACCGGCAGGCATGGAACAGAGGAGATTAAAGTTTGATGATGTGACTTCTATGTAACCCTCATTCTTTGGTGGGAGGAAGAGGATTTTTCAGTAGAGAATAAAAGTAAATCTTCCTTTTCAGAAGTATTAGTATTACTGTGTCTCTGATCTGCTTGACAAGATGCCCAGCATTTGGACAGATCTCTTATGTTTTTATGAGTATGTACTGAAATGCTAATGAATACTCATCCATGCATTGCCATCTTTGCATGTCATAGTGAAATTGTAGGCCAGTGGCACCTCACATCAGATCTTTTTATTGTCTGTACATTTTCTTAAAGTAAATGAAAGCTTGTTTAATAAGGAGACAGTGGAGAGCTTTTGTCCAAAGTCCTTTCAGATACATGTTTTCTACAGAGTAAGCTTTAACTTTAAACGAATCATGTTATATACTTCTAGTCCTGAAATAACCTAAAATAACCTAAGTCTTTTTAATTTTTTTTTCTTTTTATCCAGAACATGAAACATTCCAAACTGCACCTCAAAACCACCATGTTCAGAGCCTGAAAGGTTTGGCACTTTTCTTCCTCTGTAGGTGATCTTCCATCTGTGCTGTAAATCACTGTGTTCAGTGTCTTCAACAAAAAAAGATCAGCAGTTATAGAATGAAACTTGCACAATTGAAGGGGTGGAGTGGGAAACAGGCATGACACCAGAATTCACACTTATGACCTCTCCCATCACATGAGAGCACTTTTTCATTTGCATAACGTATCTGGTCACTTGGCAGCATGTCAGTAACAATATCTGCAAACTATAGTTTGCTTATTAACATCCATGTCACATCAGTTCTAGCTGTGGCAAATTTTCTTTGTGCATGGAATTTGCATTGGTTTAGTGAAACTGATGGTGTCAAAAATGGTCAGATCTTGTGAACTGAGAGCCTTCAGCTGTGAATTTGATCTTAGTCTGAGCTATGGACAAATTCTGAGGCTATACCCCTGTGTTCTGCAGTGCTTGTTGAGCAGAAGACAAACCTTCTGCCTCCCAGGACCAGCTGCACTTGTCTTGTCTTTCTGCCTGATGCAAAGCTGCTCGTATTAATCTTTTGAAGGATGGCTCATGGAATTCTGCTTTCCAGCTTAAGGGAAGCTAAAGGTCTCTGTACATGAAAACTTGATGGACAGTGTACACAGTTGAGAGCACCTATGACAGGCACCCTCAAGCATGCTGTAATTTAGGAATGGGAGCTGATAGGAGGAATAAGCAACTGAAGAATATAATAATAAAAGTAGGCATTCTTGCTCTTTATATAGTACCACCCTTACACAATATGTTTCCTTAAACATCTTGAGAAATACTGGGCAGCAGTGGGAGGAAAACTAATCTCAATTTCTCCCCACCCCCAACTTTGAGTTTAACAGTGCTTTTGCAAATTAATCACAAGTTTGGCCTAAAAATCTCTGCTAGATCTAAGTTCAGTTTTTCTTTGTCAGGTTGCTGTTGAAGTACATAGATTTAACTTTTTCTCACAGCGATTTCTGTTAAAGCTAAAATTAAATGGGAGAGAGAATTGGAAATTAATAATTTATGTTTATTACAGATGATACTTTTCAAGTTTTCTGAAGTGTGCAGGTGTTTCCTCCTTGGCTTCCACTTTTCTCTCTTAGTTCACTATGTTTTGGATGTTTTCTCAGGATCACTTACCTCTGAGAGTGCTCCAGATAACTGTCAAGAGACCAGAGCACAGAACAGAAGAGGAAGGCAAGTTTGCAACAAGCTGCTTGCAGGAGATAGAAAGCTCTCAAAGTTAAAGCAGAAGATTGTATTTTCTTCTGGCTGAAATGGCTCACTGTAGATGGTAAATGTTTTTATAATATACAACTTCTTTATCATTGATTTTGGAATTATTTATTCTCTGAGCTCACATCTAATAAAAACTAGAAGGGTAATCATGTATGTTTGCTTTTATCTTCAGTGCACTAGTTACCTTCTGAATGCAAGCTGGTCTGGCAACTCCACGACTGCTGACAAAGCTAAAAGTTGTCACATCCAAGGTGTTTTGTACATGAAAGGAGATGGAGAAAGTGGGAACCTTCTTAACCTTCTTACTTCTCCTGAGAAGAGCTGATCTGTGGAAATAGGGCTTTACCAGTTTTAAATCAATATCTTCGCAATAATTTGGTGGGTGTTCAGGTTTTTCCTGTCAGGTGCTGGTGCATGTCTAACTTTGTACGTAATACAAGCCATAGAATTACCTCTTGCTGACCTGCCCATATTGGGGTTTTGTGTCCTAGCACTGTACTCGTACTTGCTGCTTTTTGGGAGTGGGGGAATTGTTTTAGATGTTCTCATCTTTCGCTTTTCTGCCTTTCTCCTATTGCCTCTTTCTCCTCTCCAGAGCGGTATAGAAACAAATTTCTCATTTTAAAAAACTGCACTATCCTTGGTTTCCCACATCTGGGGATAAATTTCCTCTCTGCCTTACTGTGCTCAAGGTTGATTGTGCTGGACATCACTAAAATGTAAGACACCATTATGTCTTGCTGAAGGAAGGGGAGATACTGGGGTGAGCTCCACTGCCCCCTTCACTCCAGAAGTTCTCACAGGAAGCACCTGCCACAGGTTCAGCTTCTGCATCTCCACGCAGGCCAGCACAAGTGCAGAGCTGTGCCGATGAGAGCAGCGTCGTGCACTGTGTGTACCAGCACGTTATCAGTACAAAGAACTGTCCTTCTCCCGCTTGCGTTGTTTGGAATCCAGATCAGTCTGTGGGTCTGGCCCACTCTGCCCCCACAAATGACTCTTTGAGCACAGCTTGAAAGAGAGCACAGGAGAGGGTGAGGAAGTTCTTAATCTCCAACCTGTAGTTTGTGCTTCTGTATTGGGTGCAGGTGCCCAGGTGTGGGTGACTCTGTGCAGGACCCAGCTGGTTCCAGACAGCTCTGCAAAGGACCCACCGCGGGGCACAGCCGAGCGCATTGGTGAAGCTGCTGGCAGTGGAAGTGTATTTAAGAAAGGGCAAAATGCTGCATGGCAGAGAGGAGTGAGGAGGGCGAGAAAACCAGTCCTCTGAACACCAAGGTCAAAGAAGGAGAGGGAGGAATTTCCTCAGGTGCTGGAGTGGGTGTTGCCCTGCAGATCATGGAGGATCACATGCCGGAGCAGGTGGAGATTTTTCTGAAGGAACTGCAGTCCATGGAGAGGAGCCATGCCAGAGCAGGCTTATGCTGAAGGACTCCAGCCTGTGGAGAGCCTGCATGGAAGCGGGCTTATGTGGAACAACTGCAGCCTGTGGAGAGGACCCATGATGGAGCAAGAGAAAAGTGTGAGATGGAGTGATAGAAAGGAGCTGTTACAGACTGACTGCAACTCCCCCATTCCACTTTGCCCTGTGCTGCTTTGGACAGAGGGAGGCAGAGAAGCTGGAGGTTGAAAGTGTGAAGTTGAGTCTGAGGGAAGAGGAGAGCATGAAGGGACGGTGCTGTTTTAATTTGCATTCATTTCTCACTGATTTAATCTATTTTAATTGGCAATAAATTATTTTTCCTCACATTGAATCAAATACTGAAATTTACATCTGGACTCAGTGGAAAATGCTTACTGATTTCTCTTTGATCACTGCAAGTCACTTTTTCTTTTAATTTTTTAAGTAAGACAATTTTTAAGGGTTTTAAGGATTCGTTCTGTGTGTAGGAAGGAGTGTACCTTGTTTGAATCAGAAGTTGCATTTCTGGATGTATTCTGGTTAGGCCTTTCAAGTTCTGCTGGTTCACCTCTTCACTAGGGTAAAGCTCAGATGGAGAATTAACTCAGGAACAGGTCCAATCCATTACATTTCAGCTGGAAAAGAGTACCAGCCATATTTTTACAGGTTTGAGCATGGAAGAATCATTCTGAGGAGAGGATGCTGCATCATGAATTCTACTCTATGGTAATTTTGGTAGTGCTGTTCTTACAGATGTTAAGGATGTGGCACCTTCACAGGAACATGGTGAATTGTTAGTTGTCTGTCTGGAGGATACAAAGCAATTTGTGGTGGATAAAGAAAACTTCTTTGGTAATAAATTAGATGAGCTTCAGAAAGAATTGCACTGTCATTATAACTTCATCAAGTGGTATCTTCCAGTGATATCACACACTGTTGATTATTGTCTTACAGTTTATTTACTGTATCACTTATTCATTAGGCTTTTCTGGCTAAGTCAAGGCCATAGAAGTAATATATATGGCAGTTCTCTGTTCTCTTGAAGTTTTATGAAAAGGAAAGGAATTCCTCATTGTGCAGCTCTCGAGGACAGCCCTGCTTGCTGAGCCACTGGCTGCTCTGGAAGAGTCCGTGGTTATCTGTGTTCCATAGCTACCAAAAAATCTGCACTGAAGTACTCCATAAAGTTGTGAACTTGGAGCAGGCAAAGTGAGTTTGACATCTTTAAAAAAACAGACTACCCTGGGACCAAATTTAGCACCAAATTTCACACCTTCAGGAGCAGTGGCCTAGGGTTTATTGGTTGCAGTTGTAAAAAGATCAATGTTTGCGTAGTGAAACGTAGTTTTGTTCAGCTTGTTCAACCTGTGAAAAAAAGGTGTCTCCATTCCTTTTATTTCAGACTTCTGAGCTCCTTTGCAAAATGAGAGATTAGCTAATAACTACAGAAATGGAAAAGTTTGACTGTGGACAGGTGGTAACAAAAGATAAAGTCATCCAGCATAATTAACATTAGTAAGGTAAGATCTTTAAGAGATTAGGCACAGGCTAATGCCTTTGGTGGTACGCTGATGTTTATTCTGACCTTACAAACAAAAATAAAGATTATGAGCCATTGCAGAAAAAAATGGGAAATAAAGCACTTTGTAAAACACCAGTCTGTGGTGGGTTTGGTTTCTGTTGATTTTGTCAAACTTTTACTTGGTGTTCAGCTCCTTTGTGTATCCAATGTAGGGTCTGGTTTATCTGATCTCTTATGTAGAGTAAGTTAAAATAAGTTGATAGTTAACGTGCAGACCATAACACACAAGTTCTTCATGGTAAGATATATGACATTTCCTATATTTTCTAACAGAAGTAGTAGAAGTGTCTGAATATTATTGATAATTATCAGAAGACATTTGAAAGAAACTTCACATTCTGTCTTCACTCTTTTATCCGTGTTTTACTTTTGGAATTGATGAATTCCCATTTCTTTGAGTTGTTAGCAGTTGTTAGCAATGAAGTGACTATTTTGAAATGAACTATTAAGTTCCAAACTGCAGCAAAAATGGCTTCAGGTAAGGAAACTGGAATCATATTTAATTTTGAGTGGCCAGAATTTTTGAAGAGAGTAGGCACTGAAGCCACCTCTGCACTCAGAGAAACATTACCTTTCGGGCATAACGTTATGAAGATGAACAAGGTTTCCACAGAGGTTTGGCTGGCATCATAGACAAATACAGTATGCTGTGAGGCAGCAATGCTTTCTACTTTTTTATGAGATGCGTAAAAATACTTTGTGTTCATTATTTAGTGTCTTGCTGCTGACATACCAGTGAGATCATAAAAAGAAGAGAGTGCACAATAAATGTTTTAAGTCCAGAAACAGAAGCATCACCTGGCATATTTTAAATTTGTACATGGGTAAGTGCCTTGAGATATTTGAGGAGTAAAAAACTGTTGGGTTTTTTTTTTTTGTAGCATTATCTGATAACAAAAGATAATATATTAAGCTTAATTGGAGAGTTTTTTAGGACCCAGGATATAGTGCTAATAATATTACGGATAGATAATACTGCCTTTTGGATGCTTTTTTCAGGTTTCCAGTTGCTGTCACTTAATTTCTTCAGGGAATTTTTGTCCATACATTCCAGTGGCAAGCTGTCTCTGGTGTGGGAAGTCGTCTTGTTTACTAACTTAGAAAAAAAATTCTTTTCCTTTACTTAGGTGATTTACAGAAAGGTTAGTAGAGTTGGCTGTCTACATAAAAACTAGTTTTCCAGAGATGGAATTATTTAAGGCTGCTGGGAAGACAACACTGGCATAATAGGGTGAGTACTGACATTTTGAGGAATCAGAGGGGAACAATTTTTTTATGTTATCCTTACTGAATCTTAGCATTCACCAAGGCTAGTACTTGAAGCAGTACTTCTTTTGTACAGGTCATCAAGAGTTTACCCTCTTTGCCCCCAGAGTAAGAACTGAACAATTCGCGACTTGACCAGCACTTACTCAGATTCCTTCTGGCTGTTTTAGAATGAATGGTTAACCTTTGGCTACATGAGAAGTGCAGTGCAGTGTCACAACCAAATATTGTAGCTGTCTTCTAGGTAATAATGAGCTGTGTCAGAAATTTCTAAAAGAGAAGCAGGGGAAAATATTGAAGAAAGATCTAACAAAGTCTGTATCACAAGGAAAATGTGCACCAAAACTAACTCCTGCTTTTGAAAAGCCCATAGAACATGACCTTAAATCCTGGAGTATGAACTAAGATGGGATTGTGGACCTGAGCAGATGCTATCGATCACAAACCTCCAAAACCCTCTCAGCAGCACACACACATTTGTTCCTGTTCACCCCAAGCCAGGAAAGGAGTCTCTAGTTAGGCCACTTACTGAGTTAAAGCTAATTTATAGTGTCATTTTACCACATCCTAGTTTAAATGGGTTGCTTGAGAAAGCAGTCTAAAACAAATGATGCAGGCAAAAACTGGCACTCCATTTTTAAAAAGTATAAATTAAAAAAATATAGGTCTTCAAATTTGTAGTGCCTGTTTTCCAATAGAAGGGAGACTGAGGGGAAATAATATTTGCTTGACTATTGCTACTTACTCTAATAGGTAATAGTCTGATTAATTTGTACCAGAAAGGAGTGCTCATATTGACTTAAACCACTGGGGTTTAAGTACCTGGGGTGAAAAGTACCATTCTTTTGGGGGTTTAATTTGTTATATATTTTTTTTAATCTTTATACTTACTTGACTTGATGTTTTAAAATATTGCATGGGAAAAGCAGGTAATTTTTTGATTTTTGGACGGTGGGTTCTCTTTGCTAATTTACATCTTGAAGTTCTAACCCCCATTTATGACATTATCACGTATACAGGGACAAGCAGCATCAGACAGGATTAGAGAGTTAGCACAGAGTGACGCATCCAAACCCATTTCTACTGGCTATTACCAGGTTTTTATTGGCTTTGAGTGGCAGTAGATAAGTGACAATAGTAATTATATGGTCTTTGAGACCCCACTCTTTCCTTGGAAAGTCTGTGCCCTGATGAAAAATTTTTGTCATCTACAGGGTCAAGCAAAAAAGATAGGCTGGGGGTGCTGCTGTTTGGGAAACAATAGCTACAGAGTTACTGAGGTTTGGCAGGGGACACAGCAATCATCCCTATACCCAGTAGAGGAAGAAGAAGGAGCAAAACAGAGGATGGACGTGAGCCCTGTTTATGTGAGGCTGTTCACATATTAGATCAAAAGATTTCTAGGAGAATTAATGAGCACCACTGCAGAGAAGGTGCTTGGGAGCTTTGTGATGGCAGCTGGTTGAACTCCACCAAGTGATCCAGCTATTTCTGTAGCATTTGAAGTGGGAAGATGCTTTCCCAGTCCTTCTTGAGGCTGTTTAGAAGGAGTATGTTTCTATCCCAGGCTCTCTATTCTCTGGTTCTTAGCTTTGGGAGAGGTGATAGCCACTTAAGCCAACAGGTTATGAGAGGAGATCTTTCAGGAATATTGGTAGCATGAAGGAATCCTCTTTCACTGACGGACCTGTGATATATGTCAAGGACAAGTCTTTGATGTCAAAGACAGGCCAGCAGACACTAGTGCAGAGGAGTCATCGGGAATGTCACAAACAACTGAAATTTAAAGTGCCTGCCTGGGCTACAGAGTTGTGGCTTTCTCCTGAAAATGGGAGAAGGCTCTCTTAACTACTGAGCAGTAGTTGGTGTTGCTTCTACATATTATTTTGTCTTGCAATTTTGTCCAGTAATTATGTGTAGCAGCAGATCCATTTGACTGTGTCCCACTTGTGTCAGGAGTTTTGCCTTATTCTGTTTGTCATTCTTTGCTCCCTCTGTGTTTTGAGAGAATTGCTGTGCCACAGGGAGAGGCTTCCTGGGTTCCTGTACAGCACAAATACTGTAGTCAATGGAGAAGGGACATACAGGCTTTAGCATATGTTTGTGCTTACCACCTCTAAAACCACTCCCAAATGCCACCAAAAAAGGTGTTGGCTACATGTCTTCATCTTCCCCTCTGTCTGGGAAAGAAGACTTGCCAACACACCCTAGATGAAAGATCTAAATCATAGCAGGGGAGCCCTTTCTCACTCACAGAATGTACTCAAGGGACAGCATTTCAGTACTCTTGGGGAAGGGGAGCCCTTAACACCACTAAAATAATCCTCTGCTTTGGTCCCAAATGCTATAAAATGGAAGAAAATCTCTAAAAACCCAACCTGAATATTGTGGCCTAAGATACCTATTATCCAAGTTCGTTCTTTTCTGTCCTCTTACTTCCTTTTCCGTGACAATGCTCTTTTAAGCAATGAGCTCATCTCTAAAGCCAGAATCATCATCCTGCCAGCTCACACTGCTCTCCTGTGAAAGCTGATGACCAGAGTGCACTTCTACAATCTGTACCCATGTTTGCTGGATAAGGATGTAAAATAAGATCCTGCCTTTTCCTGTCCTGTGGGTGTGTTTGCCTCATTGTTCTTAAGGTGACAGTGTTTAGTTATGTGCACATAAATAACTTCAAGGGTTTTTTGTTTTGATTTGAAGTTTGTTGTCAAAAATGAAGAAAAGAGTTAGACTTCCCTCATCTTACTGATACTTCCTTAAATTTGCTCTCTGTTCCTTTGGGATGACAAAGGTACCGAGTGCATTAATCCATTTTGATACTAGGGGGAGCTCATGGCTTGAGCAGCCAGCGTGAACCGTGATATCTTGGACAATTCTTGAGGAAACACAGATGGGAAGTAAAGTGCCACTGATGACTATAATGCACCTTTTTCCATCACTGGCAAAATTAGGAGGGCTGAGTGTATCTGCTTAGGAAATTACACATGGCTTTCAGAGATACTCAGATAATGAAATGCTGTAGCTATAATTTCTTCTATATCTGAGCACCTCTGTCATGGCTGGATTTATTTTCCCAACTTCCTTGGAGGAAATAAGCTCTCATATCCCTGTGAATACATGGGGACTGTAATACAGGGAGCCCTTGTGGATGTGTGTGTACACATAAATGTGTATATATACATACACACACACAGATATATATATATATATATATGTATGTATGTACAAAGTAGTACTCAAAGGGAAATTTTCCAGAGCAGCCAGGAGGTGACTTGAAAGCACAAGGAAACATCATGAAACATGTTGGCTGACTTTTCCCATCTCCTTGTTTGTCTGCACTAGAAATCTGTCACTGTAACAGGGCAGATGAAAGCACATTAGCCACCAGAAGCTGGGGTCTTTGGCAGCTGAAATGCAGCCACATTTGAAATGAGCTAGCTTAAATATATTAGTTAAGATAACTTTGCATAATCAGAGCAAATTTTAATTTACATTACAGCCATTTCATTACTCAGAGTTCTTGATGTGTGGATTACAAATCCTAGTGAGCACTACCTGTATCCTGTTTAATTATATTTCAGCAAATCCTTATTCTTTCAGAGGTAGCTCAGCTGTCACTGTGATGCTCAGTGAGGTTATTTCAATTGTCAGGGCAACAGTAAGTGGTCCATCATACTCCTCCAGTGCCCGAGGCGAAGCAGACTTACTTGTTGTGCAGAGTTTTGGCAAGCAGGGCTCGGTGTTTGTGTGGGGGCAGCTGTGCCCAGGAGAGGGCAGTGATTCCCGGCCACACGCTCCGGCAAGGGGAGCTGGGGCTGGAACCAACGCGGGCCTCTAACACCGTCACCTGCACACACTGAACTGTTCTGCTTCTAACTTAGTTTATTGTAAATGCAAAGTGCTTAATGCAAGATGAACAAGTGCAATACTAATGGATGGAAGTGTGAGGCTTTTTTGACCCTCTCCAGTTCAGGGATGAGAAGTGTCCAGTGTCATGATTTTTCTCTTTACTTCCACATCAGCAAGGAGGGACCAGTGTCCTTCCGAGGGACTTTTGGGTGCTGTCAGGCCAACATCAAAGTAAAGCCTTTAGCCTGCTCTTCACCAGAATAGCCATGGTGGGGAAAGTACAATATGTCAGGTAGGAAGGATAGTATACACAGATGGATATTAGATATGATACA